CAATCCTAAATTATCAGCACTACCTCTCAGTACGAGTCTCCACAAAATGCTCAGTAAGATTACAAACCAAACCAATAATAAAGGACAACAAACATTCAGACATATATCTTTCCATCTAAAGATTATGTGCTGACGCGTTACCTCCAAAAACTGTTCAAAAGGTGTTTACCGTTCCCACTCACCCTCCTCCACCCCTTACCCAAATGAAATAGGTTAACATCTAGGGGGATGTGAGGGCGTGCTGGTAAGTAAGCTTCATCTTCTTTAGCTCCACACGTCCTGAGAGTAGCGGCCCTTGGTCATCAGCTTCTTGATGTAGGCCACAGCCTGTGTGTGTGTGAGGACTCCGACCTCCTCAGCGATGTCATAGAAGGTGTTCTGCACGTCCCGCGCCATGTTCCGAGCATCCCTAGGGAAGGACAAGTGGCAGCCATATTTACAGAGGGCACACGATTATGGATTTTCCCTTTCAGAAAACCCTCTAAAAGCATGTACATATGCAGGTGGTCTGAAATGGCTCTTACCCACAAATGTAGATGTGAGCATTGTCAGTATGGATCAGCTTCCACAGATGTTCCTTGTTCTTCTTCAGGAGATGCTGCACGTACACCTGAGCATGGAGAATCAAACAATTAGCCTGACTGAACAATTCATTTAAATAATTTAAGTGATGCAAAATATGTTCTCTTGAAGTCTGCAGGTTCTCAAGGCAATACGAATTATAGGCACTGGCAGTATCAAATATTGGACCTTATCAGTCATAGATACACTCCCCATCATATTTGGACAGTGAAGCAAAAACTTTTAATTTGGCTCTATACTCAAGCATTTTGGATTTGAGATCAGATGTTTCATACGAGGCGACAATACAGAATGTCACCTTTATTTGAGGGTATTTTCATAGATATCTGTTTTACCATTTAGAAATGAAAGCACTTTATGTATCTAGTCCCCCCATTTCAAGGTGTCATAAGTATTTGGAGAAATTCACTTACAGTGGGGGAAAAAAGTATTTAGTCAGCCACCAATTGTGCAAGTTCTCCCACTTAAAAAGATGAGAGAGGCCTGTAATTTTCATCATAGGTACACGTCAACTATGACAGACAAAATGAGGAAAAAAAATCCAGAAAATCACATTGTAGGATTTTTAATGAATTTATTTGCAAATTATGGTGGAAAATAAGTATTTGGTCAATAACAAAAGTTTCTCAATACTTTGTTATATACCCTTTGTTGGCAATGACACAGGTCAAACGTTTTCTGTAAGTCTTCACAAGGTTTTCACACACTGTTGCTGGTATTTTGGCCCATTCCTCCATGCAGATCTCCTCTAGAGAAGTGATGTTTTGGGGCTGTTGCTGGGCAACACGGACTTTCAACTCCCTCCAAAGATTTTCTATGGGGTTGAGATCTGGAGACTGGCTAGGCCACTCCAGGACCTTAATGTGCTTCATACGAAGCCACTCCTTCGTTGCCCGGGCGGTGTGTTTGGGATCATTGTCATGCTGAAAGACCCAGCCACGTTTCATCTTCAATGCCCTTGCTGATGGAAGGAGGTTTTCACTCAAAATCTCACGATACATGGCCCCATTCATTCTTTCCTTTACACGGATCAGTCGTCTTGGTCCCTTTGCAGAAAAACAGCCCCAAAGCATGATGTTTCCACCCCCATGCTTCACAGTAGGTATGGTGTTCTTTGGATGCAACTCAGCATTCTTTGTCCTCCAAACACGACGAGTTGAGTTTTTACCAAAAAGTTATATTTTGGTTTCATATGACCATATGACATTCTCCCAATCCTCTTCTGGATCATCCAAATGCACTCTAGCAAACTTCAGACGGGCCTGGACATGTACTGGCTTAAGCAGGGGGACACGTCTGGCACTGCAGGATTTGAGTCCCTGGCGGCGTAGTGTGTTACTGATGGTAGGCTTTGTTACTTTGGTCCCAGCTCTCTGCAGGTCTTTCACTAGGTCCCCCCGTGTGGTTCTGGGATTTTTGCTCACCGTTCTTGTGATCATTTTGACCCCACGGGGTGAGATCTTGCGTGAAGCCCCAGATCGAGGGAGAATATCAGTGGTCTTGTATGTCTTCCATTTCCTAATAATTGCTCCCACAGTTGATTTCTTCAAACCAAGCTGCTTACCTATTGCAGATTCAGTCTTCCCAGCCTGGTGCAGGTCTACAATTTTATTTCTGGTGTCCTTTGACAGCTCTTTGGTCTTGGCCATAGTGGAGTTTGGAGTGTGACTGTTTGAGGTTGTGGACAGGTGTATTTTATACTGATAACAAGTTCAAACAGGTGCCATTAATACAGGTAACGAGTGGAGGACAGAGGAGCCTCTTAAAGAAGAAGTTACAGGTCTGTGAGAGCCAGAAATCTTGCTTGTTTGTAGGTGACCAAATACTTATTTTCCACCATAATTTGCAAATAAATTCATAAAAAAATCCTACAATGTGATTTTCTGGAGAAAAAAAATTCACAATTTGTCTGTCATAGTTGGCGTGTACCTATGATGAAAATTACAGGCCTCTCTCATCTTTTTAAGTGGGAGAACTTGCACAATTGGTGGCTGACTAAATACTTTTTTCCCCCACTGTATGTATATTAAAGTAGTCAAAAGTTTAGTATTCGGCCCCATATTCCTAGCATGCAATGACTACATCAAGCTTGTGACTCTACAAACGTGTTGGATGCATTTGCAGTTTGTTTTGGTTGTGTTTCAGATTATGTTGTGCCCAAAATCAAATAATGGTAAATAATGTAGTGTAATTTTGGAGTCCTTTTTATTGTAAATAAGAATAGAATATGTTTCTGAACACTTCTACATTAATGCATACTGAACAAAAATATAAACGCAACATGCAACAATTTCAAAGATTTGACTGAGTTACAGTTCATTTAAGGAAATCAGTCAATTTAAATAAATTAATTAGGCTCTAATCTATGGATTTCACATGACTAGGCAGGGGTGCAGCCATTGGCATAGGCCCACCCACTTGGCAGCCAGGCCCAGCCAATCAGAGTTTTCCCCCACAAAAGGGCTTTATTATAGACAGAAATACTCCTCAGCACTCCCCTCCACCCCCCCAAGACGATCCTGCAGGCGAAGAAGCCGGATGTGGAGGTCCTGGGCTGGCGTGGTTACACGTGGTCTGCGGTTGTGAGGACGGTTTGACATAATGCGAAATTCTCTAAAATGACATTGGAGGCACCTTATGGTAGAGAAATGAACATTACATTCTCTGGCAACAGCTCTGGTGGACATTCGTGCTTCGTCCCTCAAAACTTGAGACATCTTTGGCATTGTGTCGTGTGAAAACTGCACATTTTAAAGTGGCCTTCTATTGTACACCTGTGTAATGATCATGCTGTTTAATCAGCTTCTTGATATGCCACACCTGTCAGGTGGATGGATTATCTTGGCGAAGGAGAAATGCTCACTAACAGGGATGTAAACAAATTTGTGCACAAATTTTGAGAGAAATATGTTTTTTGTGCGTATGGAAAATGTCTGGGATTTTTTATTTGAGCTCATGAAGCATGGGCCCAACACTTTACATGTTGCGTTTATATTTTTGTTCAGTGCAGATGATACCATGATTACAGATAATCATTAATGAATTGTGAATAATGATGAGTGAGAAAGTTAGAGGCACAAAGGTTAGCATTTTTTTTGGGGGGGTATGATATTTATTCCTCTAACTTTCTCACTCATCATTATTCACAATTCATTCTTGATTATCCATAATCATGGTAGCATCCACATGAACATAGAAGTGTTCAGAAACATATAATTTTCTTAAATTTACAATAAAAGTGACTCCAAAATGACAATACATTAATTATCATTCATTTCTATTGGGTAGAACATAATCTGAAACACAACCAAAACAACCTGCAAATGCATCCAACAAGTTTGTAGAGTCACAAGCTTGATGTAGTCATTCATGCTAGGAATATGGGGCCGAATACTAAACTTTTGACTACTTTAATATACATAAGTGAATTTCTCCAAATACTTATGACACCTTGAAATGGGGGGACTAGATACATAAAGTGCTTTCATTTCTAAACGGTAAAACAGATATGAATAAAAAATACCCTCAAATAAAAGGTGACATTCTGTACTGTCGCCTCATATGAAACATTTTATCTCAAATCCCAAATGCTTCAGTATAGAGCCAAATTAAAAGTTTTAGCTTCACTGTCCAAATACATACATAGGGGAGTGTTAAAGCTTATTGAATCTTATCACAAATGTCACACCTCAAAACGACGGCCCAGTACATCACTGGGACCGTGCTCCCACCCATCCAGGACATATACTTGAAACGGTGCCTGAGGAAGGCCTGCAGCATCATCAAGGACACCACACACTCCAGGCACGAGCTGTTCACTCCCTTACCCGACGGTAAGGGAGTGAACAGCTCGGGCAGATGGTATTGGAGCATGAGGTCTGATACCAACAGGCTCAGAGACAGTTTCTATCTACAAGCCATCAGACTGCTGAACCCTTGAACTGGACTGACCACCTGCACTGTCTCTACACACTTTAGCAAACATGCACTCACTCACACACACACACACACACACACACACACACGCGCGCTACACACACACACACACATCACAACTGCTGCTAACAGACTCGTATTATGATTGCTAAATACTGCACAATTTAAAAACTTGCCCCCCAATCCCCCCTTTCCCCAGAACTTGTGTAAATATTGGATTATAAATTGTTTTCCTGTATTATATTTATGCTAAAATATGTTTTATATTCTACTGAGCCATTTACTTTATGTTCTATTCTTATTATTTGTTATTTCATATTGTTGTTGCATTGTCGAGAAGGAACCTACAAGTAAGCATTTCATTGGATGCTGTATACCATGTGTATCCTGTACATACGACTATTAAAACGTCAAACTTGGTAGTATAGCTAGATACGCCAACTCTAACATAGTGAGGAGCTGACAGAGAGGTTCGGTGTGATGTGTTACCTTCCCCTCCTGGTCTCTGGAGAAGGCCACGTTGAGCTGAGTCAGCACGCCTGCCTTCTCAAACTCCTCCAGTTCCTGCTGGTACAGGAAGTCCTCGTTTCTGTGGCGACAGCCAAAGTACAGTATCGTCTCGCCGACATCCTTCCCTGATAGCGAAACACAACACATACTGGATGTGAAGCTGTGTCACACTAACCCTCTTTTTCCTTTCCCTCCCTTATGCTAAAACATACAAACATACTTGTGGCAACAAACTCAGGTGAACCTAATTTATTGTAGAATATGGAGACTTGCTTGCTGTGAACTCCATCTATGCACTAGGCAAACACTGTTCTGTTTTAATGGCTGTTCTACAATACCACAAAATATCAGCTAAACCACAGTCTTAAATACCAGACGAGGACCAGGCCTTCTTGCTCCTTACCTTGCTCCTTCATCCAGCCTCTCTCCTGGAGGAAGCCCATGAAGGGGGCGATGCCTGTGCCGGGCCCGATCATTACCACCGGGTTGCTGGCCTTGAAGGGAAGCCGGAACTGGGACTTGCGGACGTACATGGGCACAGTGGCCTTGTGGCCGTTGTCCGTCTCCACCACCTTGTTCTTCAGCCAGTTTGTGGCCACGCCCTTGAAGCTCCGCCCTGTGCTGGTCTGGAACTCCACCACCACTGCACAGATGCTCACCATGGTGGGATACACCTGACATCAAGACAATACACAGATATTAAGTAAACGCATAAAAAACTAAATAAAGAAACAAATAACTGAAAAAGTGGGAACTGAACTGGCAACCGGAGGTCTGCTGGTCTCTGATCCCAGGTACATATCCTTAAGCCTTAAAATGCTCTCCATCCAAGGGTGCTGCTGTACACATTTCTGTTTCTCACAAACCGGACAAAGTATTTGTACTATTATAATAGTGGGTCTCACCTTGCCAGAGGAGGCGATGGAGTAGTAGCGGGCCTGGAGGCGGGGCAGCAGCTCACACAGGTGGTCTATGTGAGGGTGGAGGGACGGCATGTCCTCTAACACAGCCAGGATGTTCCTCTGAGCATCCAGCACCCAGCTCTGGTACAGACCCTGACAAAGAGACACAGACAGACTAAGACTTACTCTCCATTGATACAGATCATTTACAGCTATTGACAGCATGCATTTCTGTGTGGTCAGTGGAGTGTCAGTCAGTCAGCTAGCGGTGAAGGGTCAGAGGATTGAGGTCCGTCAGGGGTGCCAACCTTGCCCTCGGGGGAGGCGGAGGACATCTTGCGCAGGGTGTCCTGGTCCTTGGGGTCGGTGGCGTACTGGGCCAGCTCGAACAGTACGTTGGTGCGAGGGGGGTTGGTGATGTCCAGGTAGTGGGTCAGAGCCGTGCGGTATGTGGTCGGACATGGGAACGGGTGCTTCTTATTGGACTCCTCTAAAAGACACAGAGGAAGAATCTTATCAGCATCATTGTTTACTGTTCAAGTTCCATTTATTTAGAGGCCACGGTATAAATGTTTTATATTAATGATAGACTATACGATTTAGTTGACTGTGTGCAGCAATATCTTCTCAACCTCTGGATTACTGTATAGTGAGTGAATAGCCATGAGGATAACATCATGTGCATTTCATTCCAACCAAATATTATCGAAATAGCCAATGGAAAACTGCTCCAATGTAAATACAGACACAAAGCAGCTCACATCATATCCCTGAGCCATGATTTACAACTGACCGTCAAGGTTGTTGAGAGAGATAACAGTGTCCAAGTCGGCATCCAGGATTTGGCCTATTCTGTTCACTATTGACACATCATTAACGGGGTAAACAGCAACGTGGTCTCCAGAGTCATATCTACAGGGAGGGAGAGAGACAGGGATATGGATAAACAAGACTTCCCACTGTCTTTATCTAACACGCAAATGTCATTACATATACAACATATTTACATGCTTAGTGTGAAAAAGAAAAAAACATAAATGATTATCCAACTCGACACTTGTTGGCAGACAGAAGAAATGCAGTAGACATCGGAAGGCAGAAGTGAATGATATTCTATGGCATAGGACTTTTAATATGAAATATTAAAGCAGAGCAGCTACCTGATTTTGGAGCCTGAGATGTCCAGCTCTAGATGCATCAGATGGCGGTCGCCGGCTTGGTTCAGCTGGCGGTTGACAGCCACTGTGGCCAAGTAGGGGTTCTTAGCATCGAAAGGCCTTCAATAACAGATATACTGGAGTTATCAAAAAGCCAGACAATTGGTGCTACTGTTGTAAAATGGGTTTGTCGAAAGTTCCAATAAATAACTGACATCCCAATACGTTTGAGAGAAGATTTCTAATATTAATAACTTATCTTTTTACTGAACTGAGAAGACATGTGAAAGTGCTAAGGCCAAGGCCTACACAGAGATTTAGTTTACACCTGTCTAGTTCTCTCAGATCAGTGCAAATAAAAGGAAAAGAGATGAGGAGAGGAGGCCACTTTGGACTATTGAGATGCACCCTAAAAGCACCCCGACTTTGCTGTTGGACTTCTGACACTGGGAAGTAGGTGAGAATCAGGTCAGCATCATGACAACAGTCATCCCTTTGTTGCCCTGAAAAACAACCCTAATCTATTCATTCCATTAGCGATGACAACACAGCTTTGTCATTACGCCTGATAGCTGAGCTGCCTACACCACTTCCTGTGTGTGTGAAGCTGTCAACTCACGGTTTCTGGGTCTCAAAGCTCTTGAGGCGACCCATCTCCCCAGTGTACACCTTATTCATGTTGATGTCAGTTGGAACCACCAACTCGTACTGCCGGATGCTAAAGGAGAGGAAGAAACGGGACAGGTGGTTACTTCCTGCTCTGCATCTCGACCACTCATGATTACACACCTGTGAAGTCAAAAAATAACTTGTCAGTGCAGCTAAGGGCCGATATGGACAGCCATGCACGCTTCTAGCGGGGTTCGCTCTCTGTGATGCAAATGTGATGATGCATGGTAAAAATTGTCAGACGCCATAATGCGCAGAGTGAAAGGTCTTAAAGCACATGTAAAAATATTTGTTATTGTTGACGGTCATTTAGGTTTCTTATTTGCAGATGAAGCTTTATTGCGCTTTTTCTGAGAACATTCAAACAATGTCAGGGTGTATCAATTATTTGATACATCCAGTATTCATAGCTGCAGATATTACCATGGAAAATAACCCTTGTTCTGTATTGGACTACAAAGTAAAACATTATTGGTCGGTTTCCCAGACACAGATTAAGCCTAGTCCTGGACTATAAAGTAGTTTCAATGGAGAATCTCAATTGAGAATGTTTTTGAATCCTGGACAAGGCTTAATCTGTGTCTGGGAAACAAGCCCTCTGTGTCTTAAAAAAAGACGCTCCTGAAGCGCCATACTAAATATCTCTAGTTGGCAACAAGTCTGACCAGGAGAGTGAGAGGGGGTAGCCAACTAGCTATTACCTGGTGTCATCTCCCGTGGCCTCCACCCCAAAGTGCTCGCACACAGCAGGCCAGAACTGCTCCTTCCATGATACAAAGTCTTCCTCAAGGCTGGGGAAGAGGGTAAGACATACATAGAACACAGTCATAGCATGACATTTTAATAAGAGAAACACATACATATTTATGAATATGGATTACCGTAATTTTTGGACTATAAGCCGCACCTTTTTTCCCATTTTTCGACCCTGCGGCTTATATAACGGTGCGGCTAATCTATGGATTTTTACAGCTAACGGTCCACTAGAAGACCTCCTAAATCTATGGATTTTACAGGTTACAGTCCACCAACTTTAACTCTATGGGCTCTATGACCGGTCCGCGCCCCCCACCTTTAAGCGGCGGGCTCCAGCAGGAAAAGCTGGAGGCCGGAAAAGAGTGAGACAGGTAGCGTGCAAAAGTAAAAGTGGAACCGAGAGAGAGACAGAATGAGAGACAGAACGAGAGCAAGACAGACAGACATTACGAGAGCGAGACAGTTTGTGCAAAGGAAGTTTTCAAGCAGCCATCTCTTTCCCGACAATCCCCTCTGTGCACGAACCCTTACATATGGTAATTAAACATTAAAACACCTGCGGCTTATAGTCCAGTGCGGCTTATATATGTACACATCATTCAATATCATTCAATTTAGCTGCTGCGGCTTATACTCCGGTGCGCCTTATAGTGCGGAAAATACGGTAATTTATGGACATTGTGGCAATGTTTTCACTGTATTGAGTTCAGTACTCACTTGCCATCATCGTCTCCCATTCCCAGGTCATAGATCCTCTTGCCACCCAGCTCTTCTAGTCTCTTGTCTGTATACTTTCCCATTGCATTGAAGTGCTCATATGTTTTATTCCCCAAGCCAAACACCTGCAGAGTTCAAAGGTAGATGCTATCAGCTATCACAGTAGATAAAAATGAATGACCTACATATAAATGTAAAGCTTCCTCTACTTCTAGGGCCTATGTCATGATGCAAATCTGAGTTGAAAGTATTCACACCCCTTTACTTTTTCCTCATTTTGTTGTGTTACAGCCTGAATCTAAAATGGATTAAATAGATATTGTTTTGTCACTGGCCTACACAGAATTCCCCATAATGTCAAAGTGGAATTATTGTTTTTGAAATTTTTACAAATTAATGAGAAATGAAAAGTTGAAATGTCTTGAGTCAATAAGTATTCAACCCCTTTGTTATGGCAAGCCTAAATAAATTCAGAAGTAAACATTTGCTTAACAAGTCACATTATAAGTTGCATGCAATAATAGTGTTTAACATGATTTTTTAAAATGACTACCTCATCTCTGTACCCCACACATACAATTATCTGTAAATCGAGCAGTGAATTTCAAACACAGATTCAACCACAAAGACCAGGGAGGTTTTCCAATGCCTAGCAGAGAAGGACACCTTTCGGTAGATGAAAAAAACAAAACAAAAGCAGACATGGAATATCCCTTTGAGCATGGTGAAGTTATTAATTACACTTCGGATGGTGTATCAATACACCCAGTCACTACAAAGATACAGGCGTCCTTCCTAACTCAGTTGCCGGATAGGAAGAAAACCGCTCAGGGATTTCACCATGAGGCCAATGGTGACTTTAAAACCGTTACAGAGTTTAATTGCTGTGATAGGAGAAACTGAGATTGGATCAACAACATCGTAGTTTACTCCACAGTACTAACCATTGACAGAGTGAAAAGAAGGAAGCCTGTACAGAATAAAAATATTCCAAAACATGCATCCTGTTTGCAATAAGGCACTAAAGTTAAACTGCAAAAAATGTGGCAAAGAAATTAACTTTATGTCCTGTATACAAAGCGTTATGTTTAGGACAAATCCAACAACACATCACTGAGTACCATTCTTCATATTTTCAAGCATGGTTGTGGATGCATCATGTTATGGGTATGCTCGTCATCGGCAAGGACTATGGAGTTTTTTTAATGATAAAAAGAAACAGAATAGAGCTAAGCACAGGCAAAATCCTAGAGGAAAACCTAGTTCAGTCTGCTTTCCAACAGAAACTGGGAGACAAATTCACCTTTCAGCAGGACAATAACCTAAAACACAAGGCCAAATATACACTGGAGTTGCTTACCAAGATGACATTGAATGTTCCTGAGTGGCCTAGTTACAGTTTTGACTTACAATCGTCCTCTAAATCTATGGCAAGACTTGAAAAAGGCTGTCTGGCAATGATCAACAATCAACTTGACAGGGATTGAACAATTTTTTAAAGAATAATGTGCAAATATTGTACAATTCAGGTGTGCAAACCTCTTAGAGACTTACCCAGAAAGACTCACAGCTGTAATCGCTGCCAAATGTTATTCTAACATGTATTGATTCAGTGGGTTGAATATTTATCTAATCAAGATATGAGTGTTTTGTTTTTCATGAATTATTTTACAAATGTTAGAATTCTTCTCCAAATTACAGAGTACTTTGTGTAGATTGTTGACATAAAAATGACAATTAAATCAATTTTAATCCCACTTTGTAACACAACAAAATGTGGAAAAAGTCAAGGGGTGTGAATACTTTCTGAAGACACTGTAAATGCAGTAATACACTATATCCTTACACATGTCTAAGCTGTACATTTACTAAATTACACCATTTGGATCAGATCTGTAATTTCAGTGGCTTTATATGGCTGAATGCACTACAAATGTCGAGAACAAGAAAACATGGATTTCCCAGATAAAAAGCCACAACCACATCACAATGCTGTCTCAGGAGAGTCGCACAGCGAGACCCGGAGGAAGCCATGGTTAACATTGTTCAGTAGTGATGTCAATGAGAAAACATTTCAAAATTGGGACTCCCAACGTCTCCAAGCCACAAACTACCAGTGCTCTCCAGCTCCAGCCTTGAGGTTGGCCAGGCCTGGAGCTTTGTTTGGCAGGACCACATGTTTCCACTTGGTGAGTGAGTTTGGAGGGAAGTGGGGCACTGTAGCAAAGTGTGCATTCCACCAGTGCCTTTCGCATGGGAAAGCCTCACATACGGACATCTCAATCCCTGCCTCCCCGTCAATGGGGAATGGGGATGCAATATGAGTCATTCTGTGTGGATCCTGTCAAAGCTAAACGTGCTGCGCTGCACACCAATGTTGACACTCAAGTACCTTGATGCATCTTCTAGAGACCTATCTCGCTGAGCAAAATACCAACCGCAAAGTTGACTCCGTTCAGGTCCTCGTCGGTCTCCTGCATCCAGTCGTAAAAGTCCTGAGCGTTGTCTGTGGGGTCCCCCTCCCCATAGGTCGCCATGCAGAACACAGCCAGGGAGTTGTCGATCTCCGCAAGACGAGGCAGCTCCGACTGAGGAGAGGAAGGAAGAAAAATACATTGAAAATACATTTTAATTGCAAACGGGATTCGTTCACCAAACAGCTCTCAGGATGCAACAATGCAGTCATTAGCTCTCTTAATGTTATACATTTAATATATATCCAAACAAATATAAAATATTCACCACCATAAAGCTGCTGGAGGTTACATGTGGTATGTAGAACACTGAGACAATGTAAATAGTGTACACATGTAAAGTCAACGGGGTTAAGACCAATACCATGTCATATTCCTCGGGGTCAGCTGACATGCCTCTCATTCCGTAGCGCTGGGCGTCTTTGGCCAGTCGGCCGCAAAACTCCTCAGCCGTGCCCGTCTGAGAGCCATAGAACACCACCACGTTCCTGTTCTGGAGAGGCAGACGCATCATCAGTTGTCATCCTAAATTATAGAGGACTTTTTAAAGTTTCTTAGCTAGTCACCAAAACAAGTTAAGTGGTATATAGCCTACATATCCATTTACTAAATAAATAGACATAATTTTGTCTAAAATAATTTGTTTCTACTTATTTACATTTAACATTTAAGTCATTTAGCAGACGCTCTTATCCAGAGCGACTTACAGTTAGTGAGTGCATACATTCTTTTTTATACTGGCCCCCTGTGGGAAACGAACCCACAACCCTGGCGTTGCAAACGCCATGCTCTACTGAGCTACACACTTATAACACAGCCTTTCGCATAAAGATACTTACCGTTTTCTTCATTTTCTCAATAAAGCTGGTTTCTCGCTGTGGAGTGACTCTGGAGAAAAAGACACAAAGCAGATGTTAAAGGCCAACATTACCATACCATGGTAACTTAGTTAATTAGTCCATTAAATGGCTATTACACTGCCTCGAAAATATGATCCATTTGAGGAGGCAGTAAATGTTCTTTACTTTGGCATTCTCATCCCCTTCTGACCCCCATGGGAGAGATTTTTGTATGGGTCACACCCAATCCCTTCACAAGTCATGGAAACGCAACACAGAAATAGCTCAGTTGATCATTGGTAAAAACCTTGAACAAACACAGTAAATGCATGTGATACTCACCAATGAAATTAACATGTCAATTGTCAATGAAATGTGTACTCCTTAGCAAAGAACATAGGAGGTATCAAGAGGAAGTGAAGAAGTGACAAACGTTGCATGTGGTGACAGTATCTTAAGTCAATTGTTAGGCTACATGTACAGCACACAGCCATAATTCAGACTATAGCCTTTTTGATGACAGGCTATCATAATCATAACATTCTACAACATTGATTCTTATCTTTAAAACTATTTCCTTTCCTTTTGTTTAACATTGCTGGTTAAAAACGCTGGTAAGCAGCCTGGGAAGCTGAAGAGCAAATCAAGTCCAATCGTTTGCCTTTTCCAACAGTAACACACATTTCCCCGAAGAGCATCAACATGATAGGCAGTGGATGGAGCACAGTAGAACAAGCTGTCACACACACACACACACACAGAGAGAGACAGAGCGACAGAGAGACAGAGCGAGACCAAGAGAGAGACAGAGAAAGAGACAGAGAGAGCGAGACCGAGAGACTGACCTGGCGGCTGCTGCCTGTCTCTCTTTGGGCAGAGAGAACACACATCCCATGGTTATAGGCAGTGTTCTCCAGTGCCCCACAACACACTTGTCTGATCCACAATTGGACACAATCCGATAAAGCACGTGAAGAAGAAGCCCCTCAGGGCTGACTATCCGCTGGCCTCTCCAATGTGCATTATGCGGGAGAGATCCTCAGTCTCTCACTGAACATACAGCCCCCCCCCACGCACACCCGAGCGCGCTCTCTCTCTGTGGTGGAATCAAAACACGCAGGCAGCCATGGCTGTTATTCAGCCACAGCAGCCTCTCACTGGTTGGCCAGGCAACTCCAGGGCTTGTGTTCTGCTCAGAGCAGCAGTCAGAGACGCGGATGGACGTGCTGCTGTTAGCCGCTCTCACCACCACTCAACACAGACACCACCGACATCTGGCAGCAAGGCTGGGAAGGGACCGACAATATAGCATGACATTTCCCTTAAAAGCCCTTCAAGCAGAGCAGCCGGTGACATGCACATAAACATTTATTTTTTAACTAAACGGACATGCCCCTGCGCACGCACACACATCCACTCACTACATCCCTCCTCTTTTCCTCTACAATCTGTAGGGACTACACTACCCGAGTCACCCTGGCAACTGTTAACAGCGTAAATGTGTATTTTTAATTTTTAAAGAGAGACAAGGCAAGGCAGAGCTGAATGAAGCACATTTCAAACCCCTGAGCCGAGGGAGTGTGTCACAATGGTTACCTAATCTATCATAAAAGGTTGCCATTTGTGACACGGCTCTGCTCCATTCATGCTCCCTCAAAGGCAAATTAGGGACGGCTTCCGCAGAAGAGAGGCTGAACAGAGAATACTGCTGGACTTTGGCCTCAACTTTCCACCTCAGAGAGCATTCAAAGAGAAAGAGCATCCACTGGGTCTTCTGGTGCGCTGTGGAAGTGTCCAAATGGGCCGTGTAGAAGACTAAAGACAAAAAGAGTGCACAAAGACGGGAGTCTTCTCCAACAAAAAAGGATCACAGTGAAATGTGAGCCAGCCAAACACAAGGAAACTCCAAGGTAGCTCTCCCCTTTCCTGCACTCACCAAACCTCTTCCTGGAATTTTCATAGCTTCAGTTGTGGGCCATTTCCTCCTCCTGCATATTTCTTTCAATGAGGTTTGGTGGTCCGGAGGGGAGCCAGGGGATCTCGCAGGGAGAGAGAGAGGTCCAGTAATTAATTACTAGTATGTTTGAGTTCCTTCTCTTAACACTGTTCCCATTCAGACAGAGAAAGCCATGTTGATGGTTTTAACATTTCCAGCTATTAAAACCTCTTTCAAGTCCATTGTTTGGGTGTGAGGGAGAGCAGAGCTGGCATTTTCCCTGTGGGGGGAATTGATCCAAATGATTCCAACAACGGAACATAGGCAACTGTTACTGATCAAGCCTCATGCCAAGTGCCTGCCTGCCAGCAGCCAAGTGGATACAATGAAACAACAAGGTTCTCAGTAACACTGATGTGAGATGTTTCAAGAATCCATCTATTCAACAGATGAACGCATGTATAGACCTAATCCAGAAAGTTACAAGGAATAATAGGTGAGAAAACAATTAAAACCACTACAATTGCTACAGTACGTTTCTGCATGTGGCCTGGGCAATGTAGCCTAGTCTCTAGGGTATGTTAAAATAAGCACCAAAGTCACCCAAACCACTTCCAATTATTATCCTTTTGAATAAACAACAAATGTAAACTAATGTGACCATGCACATTCCTTCAGTTAGGCCTACATGAAGTCAACACATTAAAATGCTGGAAGCCCTGCCCAGACCAACCACCGTGTGGTCTAAAGCAGCACATGCACAAGCACACTGCCAATCCCTGCTTCCCACTCAGCTCTAAGTTCAAGGGCAAGAAAATACAAATTACTTTTGGTCACCGGGGGTGACAAAATGGGCGTGTTCTGATTTAACCTTCCTGGGCTATTGAGGGGAAAATCTGAGCAAATACACACTAATGTTTAATCATCCTTGATTAAATAAATGAACAGCTAAGCACACAACAATCTTTAAAGATCATCAGCACTATCCCACTTCTGACACCAATATAGCGGATACTGACAGGGCAACGTCCCCTGCTGGTCCCGAACCTGGTGTCTCCCAGCCCATAGGCAAACATACTACCACTGTTCCAATAGGATAAACTCCCTTGGGATTTTACAAATTAGATTGTAATGAGCCTACCTAGGCAAGGGCCGTTTCAAAATATCAAATGATAGAATTTTGGTGGGAAAACTTACACAGGAGTGAGCCTCTTGAACTCTGGGATGGCCTCCTCAGTCTTCTTGCGAGAGAGGAACCAGTAGATGAGTAGGCCAACAATGAGAGAAAAAAGGAATATGTCCAAGTTACTAAAGAGAGATTCCTCCTCCAAAGGGGCCATGTCAGGGCCTTCTGGGGCCACACGCTCTTCCTCCATGGGGCCACTTGCTGTCTGACAGGTCAACACTGGCTGCAGCCAGGGCAGAGAGAGGACCTGAGGAAACAATTACATAAACTTTAATTTATTTTTTGATAGAAAAGTCTTAGGCGGCCCAAAAAAACACTTAGGCGGGCCGCCCATGTCCCCCCAAATGTTTTTCTCTTTTGTTATTTTTTTACAAAAATACACACACACACACACACACACACACACAAATATATACAGTGAGGGAAAAAAGTATTTGATCCCCTGCTGATTTTGTACATTTGCCCACTGACAAAGACATGATCAGTCTATAATTTTAATGGTAGGTTTATTTGAACCGTGAGAGATAGAATAACAACAAAAAAATCCAGAAAAACGCATGTCAAATATGTTATAAATTGATTTGCATTTTAATGAGGGAAATAAGTATTTGACCCCATCTTAATCAGAAAGATTTCTGGCTCCCAGGTGTCTTTTATACAGGTAACGAGCTGAGATTAGGAGCACACTCTTAAAGGGAGTGCTCCTAATCTCAGTTTGTTACCTGTATAAAAGACACCTGTCCACAGAAGCAATCAATCAGATTCCAAACTCTCCACCATGGCCAACACCAAAGAGCTCTCCAAGGATGTCAGGGACAAGATTGTAGACCTACACAAGGCTGGAATGGGCTACAAGACCATCGCCAAGCAGCTTGGTGAGAAGGTGACAACAGCTGGTGCGATTATTCGCAAATGGAAGAAACACAAAATAACTGTCAATCTCCCTCGGCCTGGGGCTCCATGCAGGATCTCACCTCGTGGAGTTGCAATGATCATGAGAACGGTGAGGAATCAGCCCAGAACTACACGGGAGGATCTTGTCAATGATCTCAAGGCAGCTGGGACCATAGTCACCAAGAAAACTACTGGAAACACACTACGCCGTGAAGGACTGAAATCCTGCAGCGCCCGCAAGGTCCCCCTGCTCAAGAAAGCACATATACATGCCCGTCTGAAGTTTGCCAATGAACATCTGAATGATTCAGAGGAGAACTGGGTAAAAGTTTTGTGGTCAGATGAGACCAAAATGGAGCTCTTTGGCATCAACTCAACTCGCCGTGTTTGGAGGAGGAGGAATGCTGCCTATGACCCCAAGAACACCATCCCCACCGTCAAACATGGAGGTGGAAACATTATGCTTTGGGGGTGTTTTTCTGCTAAGGGGACAGGACAACTTCACCGCATAAAAGGGACGATGGACGGGGCCATGTACCGTCAAATCTTGGGTGAGAACCTCCTTCCCTCAGCCAGGGCATTGAAAATGGGTCGTGGATGGGTATTCCAGCATGACAATGACCCAAAACACACGGCCAAGGCAACAAATGAGTGGCTCAAGAAGAAGCACATTAAGGTCCTGGAGTGGCCTAGCCAGTCTCCAGACCTTAATCCCATTGAAAATCTGTGGAGGGAGCTGAAGGTTCGAGTTGCCAAACGTCAGCCTCGAAACCTTAATGACTTGGAGAAGATCTGCAAAGAGGAGTGGGACAAAATCCCTCCTGAGATGTGTGCAAACCTGGTGGCCAACTACAAGAAACGTCTGACCTCTATGATTGCCAACAAGGGTTTTGCCACCAAGTACTAAATCATGTTTTGCAGAGGGGTCAAATACTTATTTCCCTCATTAAAATGCAAATCAATTCATAACATTTTTGACATTTGTTTTTCAGGATTTTTTTGTTGTTATTCTGTCTCTCACTGTTCAAATAAACCTACCATTAAAATTATAGACTGATCATTTCTTTGTCAGTGGGCAAAAGTACAAACTCAGCAGGGGATCAAATACTTTTTTCCCTCACTGTACATACATACATACATACACACACACATATAAACACACATACATATATATACAGTTGAAGTCGGAAGTTTATATACACATTTACATTACATTTACATTTACGTCATTTAGCAGACGCTCTAATCCAGAGCGATTTACAAATACACTTAGGTTGGAGTCATGAAAACTCGTTTTTCAACCACTCCACACATTTCTTGTTAACAAACTATAGTTTTGGCAAGTCGGTTAGGACATCTACTTTGTGCATTTTCCAACAATTGTTTACAGACTATTTTACTTATAATTCACTGTATCACAATTCCAGTGGGTCAGAAGTTTACATACACTAAGTTGACTGTGCCTTTAAACAGCTTGGAAAATTCCAGAAAATGATGTCATGGCTTTAGAAGCTTCTGATAGGCTAATTGACATCATTTGAGTCATTTGGAGGTGTACCTGTGGATGTATTTCAAGGCCTACCTTCAAACTCAGTGCCTCTTTCCTTGACATCATGGGAAAATCAAAATAAATCAGCCAAGACCTCAGAAAAAAAATTGTAGACCTCCACAAGTCTGGTTCATCCTTGGGAGTAATTTCCAAATGCCTGAAGGTACCATGTTCATCTGTACAAACAATAGTACGCAAGTATAAACACTGTGGGACCACGCAGCCATCACACCACTCAGGAAGGAGACGCGTTCTGTCTCCTAGAGATGAACGTACTTTGGTGCGAAAAGTGCAAATCAATCCCAGAACAACAGCAAATGACCTTGTGAAGATGCTGGAGGAAACAGGTACAAAAGTATCTATATCCACAGTAAAACGAGTCCTGTATCGACATAACCTGAAAGGCCGCTCAGCAAGGAAGAAGCAACTGCTCCAAAACAGCCATAAAAAAGCCAGACTACGGTTTGCAACTGCACATGGGGACAAAGATCGTACTTTTTGGAGAAATGTCCTCTGGTCTGATGAAACAAAAATATAACTGTTTGGCCATAATGACCATCGTTATGTTTGGAGGAAAAAGGGTGTGGCTTGCAAGCCAAAGAACACCATCCCAACCGTGAAGCACGGGGGTGGCAGCATCATGCTGTGGGGGTGCTTTGCTGCAGGAGGGACTGGTGCACTTCACAAAATAGATGGCATCATGAGGAAGGAAAATGATGTGGATATATTGAAGTAACATCTCAAGACATCAGTCAGGAAGTTAAAGCTTGGTCGCAAATTGGTCTTCCAAATGGACAATGACGCCAAGCATACTTCCAAAGTTGTGGCAAAATGGCTTAAGGACAACAAAGTCAAGGTATTGGAGTGACCATCACAAAGCCCTGACCTCAATCCTATAGAAAATGTGTGGGCAGAACTGAAAAAGCGTGTGCAAGCAAGGAGGCCAACATACCTGACTTAGTTACACCAGCTCTGTCAGGAGGAATGGTCCCCAATTCACCCAACTTATTGTGGGAAGCTTGTGGAAGGCTACTCGAAACGTTTGACCCAAGTTAAACAATTTAAAGGCAATGCTACCAAATACCACTGGGAATGTGATGAAAGAAATAAAAGCTGAAATAAATCACTCTCTACTATTATTCTGACATTTCACATTCTTAAAATAAAGTGCTGCAAAGAAACCACTACTAAAGGACACCAAGAAGAAGAAGAGACTTGCTTGGGCCAAGAAACACGAGCAATGGACATTAGACCAGTGGAAATGTGTCCTTTGGTCTGGAGTCCAAATTTGAGATTTTTGGTTGCAACTGCCGTGTCTTTGTGAGACACGGTGTGGGTGAACGGATGATTTCCGCATGTGTATTTCCCACCGTAAAGCATGGAGGAGGAGGTGTTATGGTGTGGTGGTGTTTTGCTGGTGAGACTGTCTGTGATTTATTTAGAATTCAAGGCACACTTAACCAGCATGGCTACCACAGCATTCTGCAGCGATTCGCCATCCCATCCGGTTTGGGATTAGTGGGACTATCATTAGTTTTTTCAACAGGACAATGACCCAACACACCTCCAGGTTGTGTAAGGGCTATTTGACCAAGAAGGAAAGTGATGGAGTGCTGCATCAGATGACCTGGCCTCCACAATCCCCCGACCTCAACCCAATTGAGGTGGTTAGGGATGAGTCGGACCGCAAAGTGAAGGAAAAGCAGCCAACAAGTGCTCAGCATATGTGGGAACTCCTTCAAGACTGTTGGAAAGCATTCCAGGTGAAGCTGGTTGAGAGAATGCCAAGAGTGTGCAAAGCTGTCATCAAGGCAAAGGGTGGCTATTTGAAGAATCTCAAATATAAAATCTATTTTGATTTGTTTAACACTTTTTTGGTTACTACATGATTCCATATGTGTTATTTCATAGTTTTGATGTCTTCACTGTTATTCTACAATGTAAAAAATAGTAAAAATAAAGGAAATCCCGATATCGCCCTTCCACATCTGCAGTAAAAGGTGGCAGAGCTAGAGCTGTGTTAGTCAGACCATGAGACATCCCATAAAAATTAATCTTCTCATGAAAACGTCTAAAGCGTCCGACCAGTTTGGCCTACAAACTATCATGACCCCTCTCTCATGAACGAGTACATTACCAGTCAAAAGTTTGGACACACCTACACATTCAAGGGTTTTTCTTTATTTTTTACTATTTTCTACATTGTAGAATAATAGTGAAGACATCAAAACTATGAAATAACACATATGGAATCATGTAACCAAAAAAGTGTTAAACAAATCAAAATATATTTGAGATTTGAGATTCTTCAAATATGGGGTGTTTACAGGTTTTTTAATTAGGATAAATCAAGGGCAGCTTTTTGAGTTTGATTATAGACACTTTAGAGAAGGATTTAATGACTAATAAGGACATTGGGGAAAGTCTGATGGAATGAATTTGCCGGTCAAGGATTGATTGATTCTTATAGTCGGAGTGACACAGCCCGCTGTTTGCAGCCTCCATAGGCCTACAGTGAGGGGAAAAAGTATTTGATCTCCTGCTGATTTTGTACGTTTGCCCACTGACAAAGAAATTATCAGTCTATAATTTTAATGGTAGGTTTATTTGAACAGTGCGAGACAGAATAACAACAACAAAATCCAGAAAAACGCATGTCAAAAATGTTATAAATTGATTTGCATTTTAATGAGGGAAATAAGTATTTGACCCCCTCTCAATCAGAAAGATTTCTGGCTCCCAGGTGTCTTTTATACAGGTAACGAGCTGAGATTAGGAGCACACTCTTAAAAGGGAGTGCTCCTAATCTCAGTTTGTTACCTGTATAAAAGAAACCTGTCCACAGAAGCAATCAATCAGATTCCAAACTCTCCACCATGGCCAAGACCAAAGAGCTCTCCAGGGATGTCAGGGACAAGATTGTAGACCTACACAAGGCTGGAATGGCCTACAAGACCATCGCCAAGCAGCTTGGTGAGAAGGTGACAACAGTTGGTGCGATTATTCGCAAATGGTAGAAATACAAAAGAACGGTCAATCTCCCTTGGCCTGGGGCTCCATGCAAGATCTCACCTCGTGGAGTTGCAATGATCATGGGAACGGTGAGGAATCAGCCCAGAACTACACGGGAGGATCTTGTCAATGATCTCAGGGCAGCTGAGATCATAGTCACCAAGAAAACAATTGGTAACACACTACGCCGTGAAGGACTGAAATCCTGCAGCGCCCGCAAGGTCCCCCTGCTCAAGAAAGCACATATACATGCCCGTCTGAAGTTTACCAATGAACATCTGAATGATTCAAAGGAGAACTGGGTGAAAGTGTTGTGGTCAGATGAGACCAAAATGGAGCTCTTTGGCATCAACTCAACCCGCCGTGTTTGGAGGAGGAAGAATGCTGCCTATGACCCCAAGGACACCATCCCCACCGTCAAACATGGAGGTGGAAACATTATGCTTTGGGGGTGTTTTTTGTTGTTATTCTGTCTCTCACTGTTCAAATAAACCTACCATTAAAATTATAGACTGATAATTTCTTTGTCAGTGGGCAAACGTACAAAATCAGCAGGGGATCAAATACTTTTTTCCCTCACTGTATATGTTTGCAGCCATATTATTGTTTCCCTTCATCTGAGTGGCGCTGGATATTGGCTCTCTCCTTTTCATGAGCTTGTTTAGAAAGTGTCCTCTTTCGGCCAACAGAAACAGATATCACAGGCTCCAAACTGTCGAAGGGATCCATAACCAAAAGGTCCACGATACTCGAGCTCAAAGCTAACATAACGCTAGGTAGCCAGCACGCGAACAGCTGAGAGGGACAGCTGTCTATTACCGCATCTGGCTAACTAAGCCATGGGTTACTCTAAATAAATAACCTATGGTTCTGATTACATTCCTGTGTGGAAAAAATATTTATAGCGAAACCTAATTTACGACTGAACAGATAAATATCATGGAAACGATTAACTAAATGACTCACTTTTGCGCCAGCTGCAAAAACCATATGGAAGTTCCATGCATCTGGACAGTGGATATAGCCAGACCCATTTATTTAGAGAGTTGTGCCAACTTTTAGAATGTTGAATAGGCTATTGTTATAATTCTAGACATCCAGTTACATAGCATTATTTAAATATTCCTAATGTAATGTTAATGGTCGCTAACATGGCTGCCATTGAATGTTGTAGTGTCATGTAAATGCATCATAATGCAGAAACCTCAATGGCCCAACTCTCTAAAAACATGGCCCTGGATATAGCATGTTTAGGTATGAAACACGTGTGTCGGATATAGGCTAGCGTTTGGAACAAAAACACATTTTAAAGCACATTAAAGTCAATGTTTTAAAAGCATGAGAACAGCCATAATTCATACACATAAAAAGGGACCCATGAACATTCACTTCAGATGAGAAAATGTGAATGTGAAAAATCAAACTCTTCATAAAATTGGCATGTTGGAGAAATAAAGCAAACAAGAGACGTTATGGATGTTCCATGAAATGGAAAAGCTTTTTAGGGAGATTGAACAAATTAGCAAAGGTCTGTAAATTGGTACATTTTAGGTCAAAACGTGGATAGCCATTTCGAAAGAAAGGCTTGGCTGAATACAAAAACGATAACTTTGAAAATATTTCCATTTCCATTAGCCCTATTACTTTAGAGAGGAAAAACAACCGTTTTGGATGTTACAGAGCCTGAAATCGACATTCAAATCTTAAGTATTTCTTGATCAAAATCTATCATAACACATTTGTTGTCACCTGGAATGTTTCTAAAATGTTTGCAAAAGGCATAGTACCTATGACCAATGTTCCCTATAATTTGTTGGGGCACTGAGCAAATCTTTGGTCTTGTGAGTGGAAACTTGAATGTTGTGGGAATTTTGTGCAACTTCCGGCGCGCATTTACAGTGAACACTGAGGCTGTACCCTTCTTCCAGCATGACTACCAAAGCTGTCATCAAGGCAAAGGGTGGCTATTTGAAGAATCTCAAATATAAAATCTATATTGATTTGTTTAACACTTTGATGGTTACTACATGTTTCTATATGTGTTATTTCATAGTTTTGATGTATTCACTATTATTCTACAATGTAAAACATAGTAAAAAATAAAGAAAAACCCTTGAATGAGTAGGTGTGTCCAAACTTTTGACTGGTAGTGTATATAAAACACAGAAAAATCCAGTTTTTGACTGCACTGGGCCTTTAACAGGTGACTTGACCTGGGCTATGTAGGGCACATTTAATCAGCAGGAGCATAGTTCGAGAAATTAACACTTCATAGCTGAGATTCAGTCATGCAGAGATGAGTGACGACTCTGAGATTTTGCCAGCATTTCTCTCCATGGGTATGCCAAAATGAATGGCAGAATGCTGTGCTCCAGACTCATGTAGTACTGAGAACCATTTTTGTCTTTCAAATGTCTGTACTTATCCTGTCACTTACACCTAAAAAGCATTGAAAGGCTAAATTCTCAATTTTACCACAAGAGGGCATTCTAGCATAAGGACAAATGTGAGCAAAATGTACACATTGTTCTTTTGAACTGCAGTCCATACATACAGCATGCTATGGATAAAGAAAACAACTGAAAGCTACAGTCTCATACACCTGGTACTTCCATTAAGTTCTGTCAGTTTTCATAGATTACTTCTGTTGCATGCATCACATTTACCGTATTATAGCATTCAGTCTGTTGTTATCTGGGGTCAATTCAATGAAAACAAATGCAAACTGACAAATAACTATTCAAATAGTTAAATATTATTTCAATAATAGTTACAACTAATAGAAACTCACTGGTGCACACTTCACTACTGTACTCGCTGGTGCACATTTCACTACTGTACTGATAAAATACATTGTTTCCAACACTTCCACAAATATCTGTGGTTGGTTGGAAACCCAATGGATAGTTGGCAAGCTTGCTGCTACTTCCATGCACTTCATCAAGTGTGGCAGATACCCATTTTTGGCAACATAAATTGTCAGTTAATAAAAAAAGAGACATGCTGCTATAATGTTCAATGTATCAATAAGATAGTTGACAAGATTGAGTTTACTAATTCTTTCGAAAGTCTGGCTTTGTCTTCCCCCATTTAGGTAACCCAAAAACCTTACAAAAGAGTGGAGCACAGTTGTGTAATCTGTTCAAAGCAGCTAACATTAGCTAAGCTTTGCCTAAAGGATCTTGTATCTAGGCTGTACGTTGTCTGCTTGGAAGGCAACGTCAAATTCATAACGTTTAACCATATTTGAACATAGCATAAGGTTGCAGTACAACACAATACTAATTTAAGTCTAACAAATTAGTTAATTTTACCTTCAAGCTGCTCCTGACTGTATCCCAGCACAATATCAGAGTCAAATTGCTTTTACGTCATTATTGTGCGCCCACGCGCCATGCCTCTCACGTGTCAGTGGTTTATGTACACTGTGCTTTAAAAAATATAATCAGAGAAATGTGATACCACCATGTCCCTGAAAGCTCCTAGAGCTCATTTCGATATCAGCCACCGTATCAAATCATCAGGATGAACACTATCCATCCACAAAATAGTATCAGTCAAGAAGAAGAAAGTAATATTGTTAACATATCCCTAACATACCAGTAGCAATGTAGTAATGCACGTGGCAGTCTCATAATGAAACGTTTAGACAAAATGAACAAAGCAGACTCAGCTAGCGGCTTATTATTGCAGAGTGAGCTCTCTTGACACAGCTGAATATTTACAGACAGTTTAGTGATTGTCAGTGCATGACCTGTAATATCTCAGACCCATTCTGGTAATCTCACACACTATTAAATCTTGGGTGATGCTGAAAGTGACAAGCTGCATTTCTCAGAAACAAAACACATTTGATAAAAAGGTGCAACAGAAAAATGTACATGTTTACAAGACAAATGTATAAAATAGACATAAAAAGTACATTAGTATAAAACACCTTTGGCACATATTATTTTGAATAAATAGTTGGGTTCGTAACAATGTCCAGTTATCTTTCTCTATGTTGTGGATGTACTTATGGTAGACCACACCAAGTGTGGTGGAGAAGTTCCCCATAAATAACACGAGGTAGGAGCAGCCACACATGAAGACCTGGAGGGTGGGGAGTGAGGACAGGTTAGGAATAAAGTAGCAAATGTTCACTTTCATTTTGACTGGCAACAAAATACATGAGACACATAAGGAGCTTGACACATTGATATTGACATTGTCAATAAAGGAAGTTGTCAAGTTTCATTCATTTTATCTGTGAAATGAAAAGAGCATCTGTGAAATGCACTGACCTGCCACTTTCTACACTCCGGGAGCTGGGCCATCCTGAACAGTGTTAGGACATTGTAGAGCTGCCAGAACTACAAACACATAGAACACAGAGGTGTCGCCCTCCCTCTTGCGCAAGGCATACAAGTGCAGTGACATCAATATCCAGAAATAACTTTGGTACTTTCAATACCCTAAAATACCCCCCCCCCCCCCGATTGAACCAACATTGTTTCCAAGTCATTTCAACCCAAAAATGTAATGTGATGACGTTGAATCAATGTGGAAAACTGATTGGATTTGAAAAAAGTCATCAACGTCAGGGAATTTTAACCTAAATCCAATGACATGGTGAAATGATTAGTTGATTTCATGTTGAATTCACGTTAGTTGACAACTCAACCAAATGTAAATCAAAACTAGACATTGAACTGATGTCTGAGAGACACTACATTTACTGTAGACAAAAGGTCTTCACTGAGCACTACCAGTGGGGAGATGAGCCCCTGATACTCACATGACAAAAGAACAGGAAGGTCAGAAGGAAGGTCTTGCCACATCCACTACTGGAAACCCTGTGAGGTGGAGGAATGTTTGTTTAAAATAAAGGGAACACTAAAATAACACATTCTAGATCTGAATGAATGAAATAATCTTATTAAATACTTTTTTCTTTACATAGTTGAATGTGCTGACAACAAAATCACACAAAAATGATCAATGGAAATCAAATTTATCAACCCATGGAGGACTGGATTTGGAGTCACCCTCAAAATTCAAGTGGAAAACCACACTACAGGCTGATCCAACTTTGATGTAATGTCCTTAAAACAAGTCAAAATGAGGCTCAGTAGTGTGTGTGGCCTCCACGTACCTGTATGACCTCCCTACAACGCCTGGGCATGCTCCTGATGAGGTGGCGGATGGTCTCCTGAGGGATCTCCTCACAGACCTGGACTAAAGCATCCGCCAACTCCTGGACAGTCTGTGGTGCAACGTGGCGTTGGTGGATGGAGCGAGACATGATGTCCCAGATGTCCTCAATTGGATTCAGGTCTGGGGAACGGGCGGGCCAGTCCATAGCATCAATGACTTCCTCTTGCAGGAACTGCTGACACACTCCAGCCACATGAGGTCTAGCATTGTCTTGCATTAGGAGGAACCCAGGGCCAACCGCACCAGCATATGGTCTCACAAGGGGTCTGAGGATCTCATCTCGGTACCTAATGGCAGTCAGGCTACCTCTGGCGAGCACATGGAGGGCTGTGCGTCCCCCCAAAGAAATGCCACCCCACACCATGACTGACCCACAGCCAAACCGGTCATGCTGGAGGATGTTGCAGGCAGTAGAACGTTGTCCACGGCGTCTCCAGACTCTGTCACGTCTGTCACATGTGCTCAGTGTGAACCTGCTTTCATCTGTGAAGAGCACAGGGCGCCAGTGGCGAATTTGCCAACTTGGTGTTCTCTGGCAAATGCCAAACGTCCTGCACGGTGTTGGGCTGTAAGCACAACCCCCACCTGTGGACGTCGGGCCCTCATACCACCCTCATGGAGTCTGTTTCTGACCGTTTGAGCAGACACATGCACATTTGTGGCCTGCTGGAGGTCATTTTGCAGGGCTCTGGCAGTGCTCCTCCTGCTCCTCCTTGCACAAAGGCGGAGGTAGCAGTCCTGCTGCTGGGTTGTTGCCCTCCTACGGCCTCCTCCACGTCTCCTGATGTACTGGCCTGTCTCCTGGTAGCGCCTCCATGGTCTGGACACTTCGCTGACAGACACAGCAAACCTTCTTGCCACAGCTCGCATTGATGTGCCATCCTGGATGAGCTGCACTACCTGAGCCACTTGTGTGGGTTGTAGACTCCGTCTCATGCTACCACTAGAGTGAAAGCACCGCCAGCATTCAAAAGTGACCAAAACATCAGCCAGGAAGCATATGAACTGAGAAGTGGTCTGTGGTCACCACCTGCAAAACCAGTCCTTTATTGGGGGTGTCTTGCTAATTGCCTATAATTTCCACCTGTTGTCTATTCCATTTGCACAACAGCATGTGAAATGTATTGTCAATCAGTGTTGCTTCCTAAGTGGACAGTTTGATTTCACAGAAGTGTGATTGACTTGGAGTTACATTGTGTTGTTTAAGTGTTCCCTTTATTTTTTTGAGCAGTGTATATGGAATACATATATAATAAACATGTACTATACAATACCAGTAAACATGTACTATGTATACAGCTGCAATCTATGTGTTGATGATGCCCTGATATCAGGTCAATGAGGAGTGATGGAGGAGGATGCGTTTTTGTCATTTTGGTCATGTTCCTCTTAAACACATGTGATCAGTGAGTAGTCATGATGACACACAACAATGTGTGACTTCTCTCTCACCAACTGGCAAATCCATGTTGTGACTCTCTCCCAGGGCTCGAAGTCTGTACAGACAGCCACTCTGGTAATAGTACTGGAGAAACTGGACAAAACCTATTTGGCACAGAAAACACAACAGAAGTATACTGTATTAATACTGAGACTGTTCTACTTCTCCCCAGGTTTCAGGTCAATCCCATTTTAATTTAGAAGATTAATTAATTGAAATTCCTATTCAAAAGTTGAATAGTGCCATTTGTTTTGAATAATGTTAGCCTCAGATAAAAACAATTGTATGCCACTCCATAGTCATTTTATCTCTCACTTAAAGATATTACAGTTGTGTCTTACTTTGGTACAAGCAGTAGGCGAGGAACTGATTCCTGAACATCTGGTACAGTATGCCTTCCGGACTGTAGGACGGACAGGGCAGTTAGATATGTATAAGTAGTATGGTGAAAATTCCATTCTGGCCAATCAGGGGGTAAAAATATGCATTTGGGTCAAGAGTCAACAAGCTACCTAATGTGTTCTTCTTGTCTTGTGCACTCATAAATATGACATAAAAGTGTGCATTTGGTAACATGCTAAACTCCAGGCCTCTGGGGCTACAGTGTCAGCTGGTTTTCATTTCTCCCTTGTGTTTAATTGGATCACATGCGCAGCCATTTAGTTGAGTGATATCATATTGCAGTTTATTAGGTACCCCGTTCACGAAAATGGATCGCTCCTACAGACAGTAAGTCACGTGGCAGTGGCTTGCTATATAAAGCAGGCAGACAGGCATCGAGACATTCAGTTACTGTTCGATTGAACGTTAGAATGGGCAAAACGAGTGACCTAAGCGACTTTGAGCGTGGTATGATCGTCGGTGCCAGGCACGCCAGATCCAGTATCTCAGAAACGGCCACCATCCTGGGCTTTTCACGCACAGTGTCTAGGATTTACTGAGAATGGTGCGACAAACAAAAAAGATCTAGTCAGCAGCAGTCCTGTGGGCAAAAACAGCTTGTTGATGAGAGAGGTCGAAGGAGAATGGAAAAAATCATGCAAGCTAACAGGCGGGTCACAAACAGAAAAATAACGACGCTGTACAACAGTCGTGTGCAGAACGGCATCTCGGAACACACAACTCATCGATCCTTTTCTCGGATGAGCTATTTCAGCAGACGACCACACCGGGTTCAACTCCTATCAGCTAAAAACAAGAAAAGCGGCTCCAGTGGGCACGCGATCCCCAACACAATTGAGGAGTGGAAAAACATTTCCTGGTCCGACGAATCCCAGTTCCTGTTGCGTCATGCTGATGTCAAAGTCAGGATTTGGCATAAGCAGCATGAGTCCATGGACCCATCCTGCCTGGTGTCAATGGTATAGGCTGGTGGCGGTGGTATACTGGTGTGGGGAATGTTTTCCTAGCACACGTTAGGTCCCTTGATACCATTTGAGCAACGATTGAACGCCACAGCGTTTGGGAACATTGTTCCTGAAATCCCTGTGGAACACTTCCGACACCTTGTAGAATCCATGCCCCGAAGAATTCAGGCTGTCCTGGAGGCAAAGGAAGGTCTGGCTTGCCTATGGAGCAGTGAGGGGAACGGCACCTCCGTACCTTCAGGCTCTGATCAGTCCCTACACCCAAACGAGGGCATTGCGTTCATCCACCTCTGGCCTGCTGGCTCCCCTTCCTCTGCGGAAGCATAGTTCCCGCTCAGCCCAGTCAAAACTGTTCGCTGCTCTGGCACCCCAATGGTGGAACAAGCTCCCTCACGACGCCAGGACAGCGGAGTCACTCACCACCTTCCGGAGACATTTGAAACCCCACCTCTTTAAGGAATACCTGGGATAGGATAAAGTAATCATTCTACACCCCCCCCCCCCCCAAAAAAAAATAAAAAATAAAATAAATAACTTAAATAAATAAACAATAAAAAAAAATACAAAAAAAAATACTAACAAATATTGTAAAGTGGTTAACCCACTGGCTATAGGGTGAATGCACCAATTTGTAAGTCGCTCTGGATAAGAGCGTCTGCTAAATGACGTAAATGTAATGTAAATGTCTGACCCGGTACTATTCCCTGTGGTCTCAGTGGTAAGGGTGCACTTACCAAGTCAGCATCACTCCATACAGGAAGCAGAACACATAGTGATGAAACACCCACCAACCATTGATCCTGAAACAACAAACAAACAAGTCACAGCGAATAAATAGCCACAACGGACAGTACGTGTGAGTTATAGATGTAAGTGTATTATCAATGCAGGATTGTACAAATACAGTAGTTAGTATCAATTCAAGACTGCAGTGTGTGATGTAAATATCCTTACAGCGTAAAATTCCTCACACAATTGAATTGTGAGGATTTTTACACTGTGAGGGATTTTTACATCACACAGTGCAGGTACACGGCAGACGACAAAGCAAAATAGTATCGTATAGAACATCAATTTATAGTGGAAACAAAGCATCCTTGTGTGTCACACAAGAGACTGCATATGCTGGGGAGACAAAGCAGCATCAACATGCCTCCATGTAATGAGGCTGACACAGACACTAGTGTTCTGTTTCATTGGACCACTTGGTGCAGTGTCTTCAGCTGAATGCAAATACACACAGTATGAAGTGGATAATGGCCTGAAGGTTGCCTACAGACCCTGAGGTTGGTTACAAACCTGGAGCCGTTGCTAATGAGGATACTCTCCCGGATGGTCAGCGTGCAGTAGTACCACACCAGCAGGAAGTTGAAGTGAGCGTCTAAGGCTCTACCAAACAAAGACGGACACAACCACAAATAGTTCAAAGTCAAAGACAAAAAGGACAAAATAGGAATTTATAGGTATTAGTGCATAATAACAATATATTACAACTAATAATACAATAGTGGGTTTTTAATACGTTAAAATTTTAGGCAATACTCCTGATATGGATTGTGAGTGAGTAAAATGGCATATGAGTAGAGCCCGACCGATATTGGCCTTTTAATGCTATATCGGTATTGGCCGATAAATCCACGATAACCGATATTCAATAAATAGGATGAAAAAAGGGAATCTCATACTTATCTGAACACTTGTGGCCATTCTCATGATGTGTCATTATTGTCACAATGTAACAAATCAACATTTGTAGCATATTTCTTCGACAATTGCTCTTTTGGATGGCAATTTATGAGAATTGAGTGTGGAAAAAGGACACTTTTTCATTTCCCTGCTGTAAAACAGTATATCGGGAGATATATCTGTATTGGTAAATTTTGTCCCCTAAAAAAATCTAATCCGTATCGGACCCCAAAAAACATATACAGTATCGGTCAGGCTCTACATATGTGAGGTTACTCACGTGTAACTAAATACAAAGCGACATGTGAATGAGAAGAAGAGGAGTAGGACAGTGAGGACCAATTTGAATTTCTCATATTCATCTTTGTAGGTAAATCTGGTGGCGAGAGAAGAGAGAAAGCATCTGTTATGTTCACAAAGAAGCTCACACAGTTAGAGTATGAGTTCTCATTGTCATGTTATGATATTATTATTATATTGCAATACATTTGTTAAAAGACTGAAAAGCGCTTACTTGGAGTGTTTGTTGAGTAGTGTTACATTCACAATCCCAAGAACGAGACTGAGGTATAACCTGAACAGCAAAGGAGGGAGAGAAGAACATTTTAAATTAAATTTGTTCTTGGGCAGTTGTTTTAGTGAATAACAAATGTGAATTTGATCAAGAAAATAATTATCTACAAATCTTCTCTAAAAAAGAGACAAACTTGCTTTTCTAGTAGAGAGCCAACTTGTATCAAGCTAAACTGTCCTTGATAGATTCCTGGATCCCATCTATCACATTAATTTCCTCTGTACTCATTGTTTCTTTGCATCTAAAGAGGAAAAGGTTAACATGATTTAGTAATAAGTACAAAGCTGACCAACAGAATAACCAGAATGATGACTACAGTGAGGTCTATTACACTGTTATTACTAAATAACATTGAAAAAGGTGAGGTTCCATGTCCGAGTACATCAACTGCGCTTGCTACTCAGTCTCCCAGTGACACTATGAGCTCTTTTAATTTATTCCTCTGTAGTGCTATGGCATGGGAGCAGCTGTCTTGTAGCTTGGAGACCTCCTCAAGCTTCTGTTTATACAGACGGCGAGTCTCCTAAAGAAAAAGAGAGATGGTAAGAACAATTTAGCGTCTCTATAGCGCATTTGCTGCACACTTTGTACCATCTCAATCACTCAGCAATGTGGTTGGCCTGGATATAGCGGAGAACAAGTATTTGATACACTGCCAATTTTGCAGGTTTTCCTACTTACAAAGCATGTAGAGGTCTGTAATTTTATCATAGGTACACTTCAACTGTGAGAGACAGAATCTAAAACAAAAATCCAGAAAATCACATTGTATGATTTTTAAGTAATTATTTTGCATTTTATTGCATGACATAAGTATTTGATCACCTACCAACCAGGAAGAATTCCGGCTCTCACAGACCTGTTCGTTTTTCTTTAAGAAGCCCTCCTGTTCTCCACTCATTACCTGTATTAACTGCACCTGTTTGAACTTGTTACCTGTATAAAAGACACCTATCCACACACTCAATCAAACAGACTCCAACCTCTCCACAATGGCCAAGACCAGAGAGCTGTGTAAGGACATCAGGGATAAAATTGTAGACCTGCACAAGGCTGGGATGGGCTACAGGACAATAGGCAAGCAGCTTGGTGAGAAGGCAACAACTGTTGGCGCAATTATTAGAAAATGGAAGAAGTTCAAGATGACGGTCAATCACCCTCGGTCTGGGGCTCCATGCAAGATCTCACCTCGTGGGGCATCAATGATCATGAGGAAGGTGAAGGATCAGCCCAGAACTACATGGTAGGACCTGGTCAATGACCTGAAGAGAGCTGGGACCACAGTCTCAAAGAAAACCATTAGTAACACACTACGCCGTCATGGATTAAAATCCTGCAGCGCACGCAAGGTCCCCCTGCTCAAGCCAGCGCATGTCCAGGCCCGTCTGAAGTTTGCCAATGACCATCTGGATGATCCAGAGGAGGAATGGGAGAAGGTCATGTGGTCTGATGAGACAAAAATAGAGCTTTTTGGGCTAAACTCCATTCGCCGTGTTTGGAGGAAGAAGAAGGATGAGTACAACCCCAAGAACACCATCCCAACCGTGAAGCATGGAGGTGGAAACATCATTCTTTGGGGATGTTTTTCTGCAAAGGGGACAGGACGACTGCACCGTTTTGAGGGGAGGATGGATGGGGCCATGTATCGCGAGATCTTGGCCAACAACCTCCTTCCCTCAGTAAGAGCATTGAAGATGGGTCGTGGCTGGATCTTCCAGCATGACAACGACCCGAAACACACAGCCAGGGCAACTAAGGAGTGGCTCCGTAAGAAGCATCTCAAGGTCCTGGAGTGGCCTAGCCAGTCTCCAGACCTGAACCCAATAGAAAATCTTTGGAGGGAGCTGAAAGTCCGTATTGCCCAGCGACAGCCCCGAAACCTGAAGGATCTGGAGAATGTTTGTATGGAGGAGTGGGCCAAAATCCCTGCTGCAGTGTGTGCAAACCTGGTCAAGACCTACAGGAAACGTATGATCTCTGTAATTGCAAACAAAGGTTTCTGTACCAAATATTAAGTTATGCTTTTCTGATGTATCAAATACTTATGTCCTGCAATAAAATGCAAATCAATTACTTAAAAATCATACAATGTGATTTTCTGGATTTTTGTTTTAGAGTCCGTCTCTCACAGTTGAAGTGTACCTATGATAAAAATTACAGACCTCTACATGCTTTGTAAGTAGGAAAACCTGCAAAATCGGCAGTGTATCAAATACTTGTTCTCCCCACTGTATGTGAGGTTACTCACCTGTAACTAAATACAAAGCGACATGTGAATGAGAAGAAGAGGAGTAGGACAGTGAGGACCAATTTGAATTTCTCATATTCATCTTTGTAGGTAAATCTGGTGGCGAGAGAAGAGAGAAAGCATCTGTTATGTTCACAAAGAAGCTCACACAGTTAGAGTATGAGTTCTCATTGTCATGTTATGATATTATTATTATATTGCAATACATTTGTTAAAAGACTGAAAAGCGCTTACTTGGAGTGTTTGTTGAGTAGTGTTACATTCACAATCCCAAGAACGAGACTGAGGTATAACCTGAACAGCAAAGGAGGGAGAGAAGAACATTTTAAATTAAATTTGTTCTTGGGCAGTTGTTTTAGTGAATAACAAATGTGAATTTGATCAAGAAAATAATTATCTACAAATCTTCTCTAAAAAAGAGACAAACTTGCTTTTCTAGTAGAGAGCCAACTTGTATCAAGCTAAACTGTCCTTGATAAATTCCTGGATCCCATCTATCACATTAATTTCCTCTGTACTCATTGTTTCTTTGCATCTAAAGAGGAAAAGGTTAACATGATTTAGTAATAAGTACAAAGCTGACCAACAGAATAACCAGAATGATGACTACAGTGAGGTCTATTACACTGTTATTACTAAATAACATTGAAAAAGGTGAGGTTCCATGTCCGAGTACATCAACTGCGCTTGCTACTCAGTCTCCCAGTGACACTGTGAGCTCTTTTAATTTATTCCTCTGTCGTGCTATGGCATGGGAGCAGCTGTCTTGTAGCTTGGAGACCTCCTCAAGCTTCTGTTTATACAGACGGCGAGTCTCCTAAAGACAAAGAGAGATGGTAAGAACAATTTAGCGTCTCTATAGCGCATATGCTGCACACTTTGTACCATCTCAATCACTCAGCAATGTGGTTGGCCTGGATATAGCATACATGATGGGATATTTCACTGTAAACTGACACTTAATCTCATTGCACGTAATTTCGGTATGACCATAAAACTATATCATCAGCTTGCTTGTGCTGAGCCTATTCATTTTGTTCAGGCTAAATTTCACAATCTACTTTGACATTTGTAACGTTACAGAACAGACTCTGTGTAGGGCTCACACTGGAAATTAGGGAAAGTCGTTTCAAAATGTTGGTCTAGCTAGTTGTACAGCTTGCTTGTGAGGCTCAACCAACAATATGTATTTAAAAAATAAGGAAAGAGACAGCTACTGAACTTTCTGTATGTTCTCCAATGTTAAAACTTCCCAATTGTTTTCATGTTAATTTACAGTGTAGACGATTAAACTCAACTCCACGATTTACGATGGAGTTGAGCGGCAATTAAGTGTGGGCAGACTGGACACTGTTCTGTGTACTTGCGAGAAATTATTAGTTTTTCATCATGTGACGTCAGAGCTCCAGTTGCCGCTCAACTCCACTGTAATTCGTGGAGTTCAGTTTAGTCGGCTACTTAAAGTGATACATTGTAGCAGCAAATTCAATTAGTTCCAAATATCTTTGAAATCAGATAATGAAAATGAGTTCAGCTGCAGCAGCTTTCAGCAAGTCTCAATCTTGCATTCTTTCTTGGATGTGCTGGGTTGACAGTTTGCCAAGCAGTGGAAAACTGAGCGTGAACAACTCGTTCAATCCACCATATAATATTCATATGACATTTAGCTAGATTACTAGTTCAAGGAACTCGCTAGTCAAATCTGGATTGTAAATGTGTAATAGCAGCTAGCTAGCTAGCCTACAAATGACATTTTCTGGATTGGCGAGCATAGCTACCTAGCTAGCTAAACAGTTTGCCATTAGCACACGTTGTGCGGATTAGTTCGCTGATGGGTGACCGGCTGTCGACTTTAGCAAGCATGAATTTCGTCCACAAGAAGTACAACATTACAAATATTTTCCAAGATGTGAGATAATTAACTTGCTATCTGTAATAGTGTATAGCTATGGAATCGTGACATTGCGTACTTTCGACGAAATAATAGGCAGGTTTCTCGACTCATACCCTGATTATGAGAAAGGATTGCGTGACGATTAGTTTAGCAACCGCGTGACGCAGAATGGCAACTGAACGCGATTGGTCGACAGTTTGCCTGGGTGGGGCGTTATACGGGTTTCCATTCGTTGCCGAATGGGATTCCTATCACCTCTTTCTCTAATATCTCTGAAAGGTCAATCGAACTTGACCTAAACAATGGAATTGCCATGGAAACGCGTGGGGGAAAGATCCCGAGTCACCTCCTTTCCACCAGCAAAATTAGCTTACATTTAGGCTGTTGTTTATAAGTGTATTTCACAATATGTTGAGGTAAAATTGGAGTATAATGCTTGTATGGATGTCAACCCCAACACATGTTCATGTCATCATTACCAATCAACTGTATTACAGTTAAAACCGAATTTGACTACCACCACCGATTTATGTATGCTAGCTATGCTAACCAGTTTATACGAACGGGTGCTAGCATTTAGCGGTCACTTCTTCTAAATCTGAAAAGGTACAATATCCAAATCTCACTTAAGTAATCACATTGTGGGCCTGTTACAATATATAAATCATTTTGACGAATATCCACTTTGTTAGATCAAATTTGTTGAATGTGCGCCAATCTGGTCAATGGAACGTGCATTGACTCCTTTACTGCATCTACGAACGCCTTCGAACAATAGAACAGTTGCTTGGGTGAGAAAGGTGCAATTGCTAGGACAGGCGGGAGCGCTATAACGTTTGATGCCAACCGCCTATAAACCCCACTGAAGAAGAAGAGGGGAGGGCGACAACGTCCTTCGACCCCGCCTGTCTGGCACTGTTTTCCCGCAGTTCTGTTAGTCAGTGGTGTAAAGTACTTAAGTAAAAAACAACAACATGAAAGTACTACTTAAGTAGTTTTTTTTGGGTATCTGTACTTTACTATTTATATTTTTGACAACTTTTACTTTTACTTCATTACATTCCTAAAGAAAATTATGTACGTTATACTCTATACATTTCCCTGACATTGTGGTGGCCGAAGTTCTCGTTACATTTTGAATGCTTATCACACACTTATCAAGAGAACATCCCTGGTCATCCCTACTGCCTATGATCTGGCGGACTCACTAAACACATGCTTCGTTTGTAAATTATATCTGAGTGTTGGAGGGTGCCCCTGGCTATCCATATTTTTTTTTTTTATTAACTAGAAAATGGTGCGTCTGGTTTGCATAATATAAGGAATTTGAAATGATTTATACTTTTACTTTTGATACTTAATTATATTTGAGCAATTACATTTACTTTTGATACTTAAGTACATTTAAAACCAAATACTTTTAGACTTTTACTCAAGTAGGAGTTACTGGGTGACTTTCACTTTTACTTGAGTCATTTTCTATTATGTTATCTTTACTTTTACTCAAGTATGACAATTGGGTACTTTTTCCACCACTGCTGTTAATGATGGCAAGGGAAGGTGTTCCGCAGGTGGGGGCGAAGGACATGGTGTGCTAGCTAGCTAGTCATATGGAGGACTCCAGTACACATGCGGCGGGGACACCGTGTGCTAGCTAACTAGCAAGCTACACTACAAGGCCAAAGGTATGTGGACACCCCTTAAAATGAGTAGATTTGGCTATTTGAGCCACACCCATTGCTGACAGGTGTATAAAATCGAGCACACAGATATGCAATCTCCATAGACAAACATTGGCAGTAGAATGGCCCATACTGAAGAGCTCAGTGACTTTCAACGTGGCACCGTCATAGGATGCCACCTTTCCAACAAGTCAGTTCTTCAAATTTCTGCCCTGCTAGAGCTGCCCCGGTCAACTCTAAGTGCTGTGAAGTGGAAACATCTATGAGCAACAACGGCTCAGCCGCGAAGTGGTAGGCCACACAAGCTCACAGAACGGGACCGCTGAGTGCTGAAATTGTCTGTCCTCGGTTGAAACACTTACTACCAAGTTCCAAACTGCCTCTGGAAGCAACGTCAGCACAATAACTGTTCGTTATTGAAATGGGTTTCCATGGCCGAGCAGCCGCACACAAGCCTAAGATCACCATGCGCAATGCCAAGCGTTGGCTGGAGAGGTGGAAATGCGTTCTCTGGAGTGATGAATCATGATTCACCCTCTGGCAGTCAGACGGACAAATCTGGGTTTGGCGGTGCCAGGAGTTTGCTACCTGCCCGAATGCACAGTGCCAACTGTAAAGTTTGGTGGAGGAGGAATAATGGTCTGGGGCTGTTTTTCATGGTTCGCGCTAGGCCCCTTAGTTCCAGTGAAGGGAAATCTTAACGCTACAGCATACAATGACATTCTAGATGATTCTGTGCTTCCAACTTTGTGGCAACAGTTTGGGGAAGGCCCTTTCCTGTTTCGGCATGACAACGCCCCCATGTACAAAGTGAGGTCCATACAGAAATGGTTTGTCGATATTGGTGTGGAAGAACTTAACTGGCCTTCACAGAGCCCTGACCTCAACCCCATCAAACACCTTTGGGATGAATTGGAACGTCGACTGCGAGCCAGGCCTAATCGCCCAACCTCACTAATGCTCTTGTGGCTGAATTGAAGCAAGTCCCCGCATTCTCAGGGCCTATCATTCCAGAATATCAGCAGGACAAACGTATCAATGTGAATGTGTTATTAGATGATCCCTGAGTCTTCATAAAGCATGGTATTACAATACATATGGAAAGTGAATAGCTTACAATTAATTTGTGATCAGTAAGACTCACCAGCTATGGCCTGACAAGCGATGCTTGCACGCTGGTTCTTAGTACCACATTAGTGTGTGTGTGTGTGTATGAAGATACTTCAAATATTTGTAAGACGTTGGTGCTCAGTGCATACAAATGTTATCAACCACCCAAGAAGGCCCATATAAAGAAGGAAGGGAACTTCATGACAAAAATATCCATGTATTTTTTATTTGCATTGGGTAAATATTGCCCCAGTGAATTACAGGGCTCTGCTGGACTCATTTAAATGATCTATTAACCATCTTCTCAATAGCGGGCTCTGCAATATCAGTCATTCTTCTACCCAGTGTGTGCAGCTCCCAGTCGGACAGCTGTTGTACAAACCCTCGGTTTGGCCTCATGTTGGTTTTACATTGCAGGACATGCTCCCAGACCTCCTGTAGTGAGAAAAGTGCCATTGATATCATAATGGAGTGGGAGGAATAACAGAAAAATTAACAGCTCACCAAATTCAGCAACCAAATCTTATACTGTAAACACGCAGTATTTTCATTACTAAGCCAAACAAAATTTCTTCAGATTCCAAAGGCAGGAACTGGAACAGCCTGAACTTCTTCTATTTCTATTACACATTCCAAAGAAGACCGTAAAGTACATAAACATAACTTGCCCCCAGTGTATATTTCAAGTGGTGCAAAAGAAAAGCAATGGCCGCAGCACTACAGCGGCTTATTCCATGACTTGAAAAGATCAAAACTGCAGATCCAGTGTTGAGACGAGAGTCTAAAAGGGAAACATTTGCAACACGATAATAAACATAATATTAATAAATAAATAAATAGTAACAACAAGTAATAACAAGTAACATCTAAAAAGTGGAACAAAATACATGTAGCTCACCAATAAAAACACAAATCCTCTCAAAACTGGAGTACAGATCAGCCTCCACTGAATCTGCCACATTGATGTGAAGGATGGTGTGGTTTCCTTTTTCAAACCTAATTTCAAAAAGAAAAAAGTTGTACTCAAACATAACTATTTTTTATGAACAATCATCCATAGTACCTGCTCCTTTGAAATGTAAATATGAGTCCTCACGCACATGTGACTACTGTCTTCAGAGACATTGACAAGGGTGCTCATGTTCAGGTCTTTTAGGACATGGGGATTGATGGCCTGCTTGTAATCGCCCAAGTAGAGTTGACCTGGCAAGAGCTCCACTGGATAAGGCCTCAAGCTCTCCAATTCCTACAAAGTCACAATAATGAAACAGACAGCAGCACAATCTATGTAAATCAGCACTTTGAAAGACTCTTATCACCTGAGTATGTTATGCATTTTCTCAACAGGCTCTCACAATATTTAGCAAAGATTAGATGCAATGGAGGCGTTACCTTTATGGTGTAAAGGATTTTTTGTGTCCTAAAGAAAGGATAAAAGGCTGAGAACCTCTGATAGCCTCCTTTCAGAATCTGGACAGGATAGCGGCTTGATTTTGTCAGGGCCTCAGCGCATTCAATAGCCTCACCTACAGACACACACACACAGAATAACTACAAACCATTCTTACCCATCTCGGATATTATTGACTGGTTCATTCAATCATTGACAAGCTGGTTTGATTCAATCGAAAACGGTTGAAGTTAATTTACTTTAGCCTCACAGAGCTTAATTGAAACTTATCAAACACATAAGAAGAGTCATATTTTTCCTAAAATGCTTTTATTAAATCGATCCCTCATAGTCAGTGACCAGGCTGGTGATTTTCAGCTCACCTGAACCTTGTAAAGAACTGGTGCTGCTGTCATAAACCACAATATACCTCATACTCTCCACCTCCACTCCTACAGGCATAATGAGTTTGCCTTTAGAGTCCTGTAGAGTAAAACAATGACATCTTACTTATTACACTGTCAAACATTGCAACTTATATTTCAAAATGGCAGAATAATTGAAGCAGAGTATTTTCATCCTAAAGTGGGATGAGCTAGTGTTGTAATGTGTTAATAACTGATTTGACACTCATACCCATTTTGCATTCCTGGCAGTAATGATATGGCTGGCATTGTACTGTCCTTTAGCACGAGCATCTGAGGAAACAGCATAACCATTTGTCCACTTTTCATAATAGGCAACTTCGAGTGTATTATATTGGACTGAGTCTTAGAAATAAGTTACCTTTATCAACACAATGGATTTGTTTGAATCGTGTTGAACTGACATGACTGTCTGCCCCTACCTGGCTCTTACCAATCAAACAGAGGAAGTTGAACTCTGACAGTCTGGACAGGCGAGTGTACTGATTGAGAATGTTGTAAAGCTCAGACGCCTCACAAAAGGTTGTTCCAGCCATTGTAGGAAGCCTGACAACTTATAAATAAAAAGTGTGTTTTGAAAATCCTGCGTTGGACTACACAGTTACTAGCTAGTTAGCTAACATTAGCTCGTTCACATCATGCTTCAAATACAAACTTGTGAGGAATACAAATATTTGTTTTCGCAGTATATCAACATATTTCTGCAGGTAGTTAGTCGAGTTTGCAAACTAACATCAGAGATCGTAGAGAACCCTAGCTAGCACAAAAAATACCTAGCCTAATGTCTGTCTCTGCCATATATGAATTAGGAATTAGAATAGTAGAATGGACATGAACCATCTTATGATGGGATGAAGATCAGCCATTTTGGTCAGGGAGTTGGTCAACCAGTGCTGTGATAAGATATTGTGTAAAATAATGAATTTGAAGAATTGACCTGCACTGTTAGCTAGCCAGACAGTTTTAGAGAAATTAATGATTCAATAAATGTTTCTAATTAACTGACAATATGCCAACATTCCATTCAAACAATGCAGCCACACAGCCATTCACTGGCTGAAATCAGTTGATGATAGGACTTAGAGACAAGTTGTAAATGCAACAAGTACCGATATTGTATCATATAATAGCACTCACAGCTTTCCAATATATATTTTTTCAAAACGAATGTTCAAACAATATTGTGACTAAACATGCAACCCATAACATGCACTCACAGATTTCCAAGAAAACAAAAATGTAGACATTTATGGTATGTTTACATATATTTTTAAAGGCTATTTATAAATAAAATGTGTATAAAACCCGTATAAACTGTATTTATAGTTTTATGACAATATTTTAGGTTGACAATGTATGATGTATCACATGCCTTACTTTTATTTTCCTGTATGAGGAAAATCAGGATTATGCCTCTACTGCCAATCATTCCAATTAGACTACTTTGGGTTTTTCCCTGACCATGGCAATATGACTCCCATTTTCACCCCATTCTGGACCTTTGAGGGTTTATGACATCGCCCATCTAGTAATTTAATAGGATCTCGTATGGTTTCTGCTAACAACACATGCTTGGCTAACTCATTCACTGATGTTGCTAGTAAAAATCTGCAGGTAGTTACAGGTTAGTGCAGAATCTTACCTTGTTAAGATGAAAATGACAAAATGACTTTTTCCACTCAAATTAACTAACCAAAGGCACTTTGCGACAACATTTCTAAAACATCTCTGAGCTAAACACACATGTACTATGAAGGAAAGGTTTGTCTAGGTTTTGTTGCTCGGTAACACAATAACGGGCATTGCGGTTGGCTGGACAATACTAATCTGTGATTGGACATTCTAGCTACTTTCATATTCAGTAGCCTATCAACGTACGTCTTCATCCAGCTGTTGGTAATACGTTTCCTGATTTGTTGAAGGGAATTTATTACTGAATTTTGAAAATCTTTGCTTGTTGTTTATGAGCAAAGCAAAGATTGTACAAATATATTTTGTATTCTCTAGTTTGAATAAGGTTTTATGGCTGGATCATGGGTATGTAACGTTAGTTATACATTTCACTAACGTTAACTTGCGTGAATAGGCAAAATATATGAGAAACCTGGATTAAACTAGTGCCACGATTTGAATAACGTTAGCTAGCATGATGTGTTGCAAAAGCGTTGCTTGCAGCAAAAACTAACTTGTATAACTATGCATTCGTTTGGCTGATGAAGCAGTATGTGTTGACAGCCTATATTGATTCTTTAAAACAGTTTGTAGATGTAGGTATGAAAAACCAGTAAATCCAGCCTGTTGTAAACGACTAAACTCCACGATATACGATGGAGTTGAGCGATGACTAGTGTGGGCGCACTGGAGCGCCGACATCACATAAAATGAACAATGTTGTGTGTAATTACGGGCTATTCTTTGGGTGTTGAAATCAGTAGTTTTTAATAAAAACTGAATTGTATGTGATTTCAGAGCTCTAGTCTGTCCACACTAGTCGCCAATCAACTCCATCGCAAATCTTGGAGTTGAGTTTAATCGGCTAGCCTGTTTGTAGTTGTGAGGTTAGCTAGTTATGGCTACAATTAACATACTCAATTATTGGACCTAGGTTATAGGCTGCCAAAAGAAAACATGGCTGTCTAGTTTGTAAAATTGGATGTTGCCCAAATACCATGGCAGCCAAAACATTAAAAGTGTGTGTGAATGTAAGTTTGGTGTGCAAAAATATACTGAACAAAAATATAAATGCAACAATTAACGATTTTACCGAGTTACAGTTCATATAAGGAAATCAGTCAATTGAAATGTATTCAGTAGGCCCTAATCTATGGATTTCACATGATTGGGCAGGGGCACAGCCATGGGTGGGCCTGGGAGGGCATAGGCCCACCAGTTGGGAGCCAGGCCCAGCCAATCAGAATGAGTTTTTCCCCACTAAAGGGCTTTATTACAGACATAAATACTCCTCATGCCTGGTCTCAAACGATCCCTCAGGTGAAGAAGTCGGAGGTCCTGGGCTGGCATGGTTACACGTGTTCTGCAGTTGTGAGTCTGGTTGGACGTACTGCCGAATTCTCTAAAACGACGTTGGAGGTGGCTTATGGTAGAGAAAGGAACATTCAATTAGTTGGCAACAGCTCTGGTGGACATTCCTGCAGTCAGCATGCCAATTGCATGCTCCTTCAAAACTTGAGACATCTGTCGCATTGTGTCGTGTGACAAAACTGCACATTTTTAGTGGCCTTTTATTGTCCCCAGCACAAGGTGCACATGTGTAATGATCATGCTGTTTCATCCGCTTCTTGATATGCCACACCTGTCAGATGGCTGGATTATCTTGGCAAAGGAGAAATGCTCACTAACAGGGATGTAAACAAATGTGTACCAACATTTTAGAGAAATAAGGTTTTTGTGTGTATGGAAAATGTCTGGGATCTTTTATTTCAGCTCATGAAACGTGGGGCCAACACTTTACATGTTGCGTTTATATTTTTGTTCAGTACAAATAAGTAACTTGTGCATTAACCCATACATGTTTTGAAATGTAACTGAATCCGACTCTCTTCACTGTGCCTTAAGGGACCAAGCAAAGCCTTCCTGCGACGAAGAAAGAAGAGGGCCAGCAGCAGACGCTGGGCTGTTATAAGTAAAAGGCTTCAGCAAACACAAGAGCCCATCATCACACCTGTAACGACACAGTGAGTCAATCTATGGCTGTCATCACTGCAACATTTTAGTTCATACAGTAGGGTGGTTGTTGACTGACAACCCTATTAGTCTAGCCTACAGACAGTTGTCATTCTAATGTTGTCAGTGTTTCCCCTGTATTCAATTGTTGCCACTGCTGCAAAAAATATGATGCATGTTTAAAAAATATATATATACAGTGGGGAGAACAAGTATTTGATACACTGCCGATTTTGCAGGTTTTCCTACTTACAAAGCATGTAGAGGTCTGTAATTTTTATCATAGGTACACTTCAACTGTGAGAGACGGAATCCATAACAAAAATCCAGAAAATCACATTGTATGATTTTTAAGTAATTAATTTGCATTTTATTGCATGACATAAGTATTTAATCACCTACCAACCAGTAAGAATTCTGGCTCTCACAGACCTGTCAGTTTTTCTTTAAGAAGCCCTCCTGTTCTCCACTCATTACCTGTATTAACCGGCACCTGTTTGAACTCGTTACCTGTATAAAAGACACCTGTCCACACACTCAATCAAACAGACTCCAACCTCTCCACAATGGCTAAGACCAGAGAGCTGTGTAAGGACATCAGGGATAAAATTGTAGACCTGCACAAGGCTGGGATGGGCTACAGGACAATAGGCAAGCAGCTTGGTGAGAAGGCAACAACTGTTGGCGCAATTATTAGAAAATGGAAGAAGTTCAAGATGACGGTCAATCACCCTCGGTCTGGGGCTCCATGCAAGATCTCACCTCGTGGGGCATCAATGATCATGAGGAAGGTGAGGGATCAGCCCAGAACTACACGGCAGGACCTGGTAATGACCTGAAGAGAGATGGGACCACAGTCTCAAAGAAAACCATTAGTAACACACTATGCCGTCATGGATTAAAATCCTGCAGCGCACGCAAGGTCCCCCTGCTCAAGCCAGCGCATGTCCAGGCCCGTCTGAAGTTTGCCAATGACCATCTGGATGATCCAGAGGAGGAATGGCAGAAGGTCATGTGGTCTGATGAGACAAAAATATAGCTTTTGGTCTAAACTCCAATCGCCGTGTTTGGAGGAAGAAGACGGATGAGTACAACCCCAAGAACACCATCCCAACCGTGAAGCATAGAGGTGGAAACATCATTCTTTGGGGATGCTTTTCTGCAAAGGGGACAGGACGACTGCACCGTATTGAGGGGAGGATGGATGGGGCCATGTATCGCGAGATCTTGGCCAACAACCTCCTTCCCTCAGTAAGGGCATTGAAGATGGGTCGTGGCTGGGTCTTCCAGCATGACAACGACCCGAAACACACAGCCAGGGCAACTAAGGAGTGGCTTCGTAAGAAGCATCTCAAGGTCCTGGAGTGGCCTAGCCAGTCTCCAGACCTGAAACCCAATGGAAAATCTTTGGAGGGAGCTGAAAGTCCGAATTGCCCAGCGACAGCCCCGAAACCTGAAGGATCTGGAGAAGGTCTGTATGGAGGAGTGGGCCAAAATCCCAGCTGCAGTGTGTGCAAACCTGGTCAAGACCTACAAGAAATGTATGATCTCTGTAATTGCAAACAAAGGTTTCTGTACCAAATATTAAGTTCTGCTTTTCTGATGTATCAAATACTTATGTCATGCAATAAAATGCAAATGAATTACTTAAAAATCATACAATGTGATTTTCTGGATTTTTGTTTTAGATTCCGTCTCTCACAGTTGAAGTGTACCTATGATACAAATTACAGACATGCTTCAGAGTTCAAGTAACAGACACATCTCAACATCAACTGTTCAGAGGAGACTGTGTGAATCAGGCCTTCATGTTCGAATTGCTGCAAAGAAACCACTACTAAAGGACACCAATAAGAAGAGACCTGCTTGGGCCAAGAAACACGAGCAATGGACATTAGACCGATGGAAATGTGTCCTTTGGTCCAAAATTGAGATTTTTGGTTTCAACCGCCATGTCTTTGTGAGACGCGATGTGGGTGAACAGATGCTCTCTGCATGTGTAGTTCCCACCGTAAAGCATGGAGGAGGAGGTGTTATGGTGTGGGGGTGCTTTGCTGGTGACATTGTCTGTGATTTATTTAGAATTCAAGGCACATTTAACCAGCATGGCTACCACAGCATTCTGCAGCGATACGCCAGTCCCACTAAGCCCTAAACTAGATGGGATATCATTTGTTTTTCAACAGGACAATGACCCAACACACCTCCAGGCTGTGTAAGGGCTATTTTACCAAGAAGGAGAGTGATGGAGTGCTGCATCAGATGACCTGGCCTCCACAATCCCCCGACCTCAACCAAATTGAGATGGTTTGGGGTGAGTCGGACCGCAGTGTGAAGGAAAAGCAGCCAACAAGTGCTCAGCATATGTGGGAAATCCTTCAAGACAGTTGGAAAAGCATTCCAGGTGAAGCTGGTTGAGAGAATGCCAAGAGTGTGCAAATCTGTCATTTAGGCTATTTGAAGAATCTCAAATATAAAATGTATTTTCATTTGTTTAACACTTTCTTGGTTACTACATGATTCCATATGTGTTATTTCATAGTTTCCATGTTTTCACTATTATTCTACAATGTAGAAAATAGTTTTTTAAAAAACTTGAATGAGTAGGTGTTCTAAAACTTTTGACCAGTAGTGTGTATATACACTACACTTTTGACTGGTAATATGTGTATATATATATATACACAAACACTACCAGTCAAAAAGTTTAGTGTATATGGTTTGGGATGAGTTGGACTGCAGAGTGATTGTGGAAGCCAGGTCATCTGATGCAGCACTCCATCACTCTCCTTCTTGGTAAAATAGCCCTTACACAGCCTGGAGGTGTGTTGGGTCATTGTCCTGTTGAAAAACAAATGATAGTCCCACTAAGCGCAAACCAGATGGGATGGCATATCGCTGCAGAATGCTGTGGTAGCCATCCTGGTTAAGTGTGCCTTGAATTCTAAATAAATCACAGACTGTGTCACCAGCAAAGCACCATCACACCACCTCCTCCATGCTTCACGGTGGGAACCACACATGCGGAGATCATCCGTTCAGCTACTCTGCGTCTCACAAAGACATGGCGGTTGGAACCAAAAATCTCAAAGGACAGATTTCCACCGGTCTAATGTCCATTGCTCGTGTTTCTTGGCCCAAGCAAGTCTCTTCTTCTTATTGGTGTCCTTTAGTAGTGGTTTCTTTGCAGAAATTCGACCATGAAAGCCTGATTTACGCAGTCTCCTCTGAACAGTTGATGTTGAGATGTGTCTGTTACTACTTTCTGAAGCTAGTAACTCTAATGAACTTATCCCCTGCAGCAGAGGTATCTCTGGGTCTTCCTTTCCTGTGGCGGTCCTCATGAGAGCCAGTTTCATCATACCGCTTGATGGTTTTTGCGACTGCACTTGAAGAAACTTTCAAAGTTCTTGAAATGTTCCAGATTGACTGACCTTCATGTCTTAAAATAATGATGGACTGTCGTTTCTCTTTGCTTATTTGAGCTGTTCTTGCCATAATATGGACTTGGTCTTTTACCAAATAGGGCTATCTTCTGTATACCACCCCTACCTTGTCACAACACAACTGATTGGCTCAAACGCATTAAGAAGGACAGTAAATTCCACAAATTAACTTTTAGCAAGGCACACCTGTTAATTGAATCACATTCCAGGTGACTACCTCATGAAGCTGGTTGAGAGAATGCCATGAGTATGCAAAGCTGTCATCAAGGCAAAGGGTGGCTATTTGAAGAATCTCAAATATAAAATATATTTTGATTTGTTTAACACTTTTTTGGTTACTACATGATTCCATATGTGTTATTTCATAGTTTTGATGTGTTCACTATTATTCTACAATGTAGAAAATAGTAAAAATAAAGAAACCCTGGAATGAGTAGGTGTGTCCAAACTTTTGACTGGTACTATATACAGTTGAAGTCGGAAGTTTACATACACTTAGGTTGGAGTCATTAAAACTTGTTTTTCAACCACTCCACAAATGTCTTTTTAACAAACTATAGTTTTGGCAAGTCGGTTAGGACATCTACTTTGTGCATGACACAAGTAATTTTTCCAACAATTGTTTACAGACAGGTTATTTCACTTATAATTCACTGTATCACAATTCCAGTGGGTCAGAAGTTTACATACACTAAGTTGACTGTGCCTTTAAACAGCTTGGAAAATTCTAGAAAATGATGTCATGGCTTTAGAACCTCCTGATAGGCTAATTGACATCATTTGAGTCAATTGGAGGTGTACCTGTGGATGTATTTCAAGGCCTACCTTCAAACTCAGTGCCTCTTTGCTTGACATCATGGGAAAATCAAAAATCAGTCAAGACCTCAGAAAAAAATGTGTAGACCTCCGCAAGTCTGGTTCATCCTTGGGAGCAATTTCCAAACGCCTGAAGGTACCACGTTCATCTGGACAAACAATAGTACGCAAGTATAAACACCATGGGACCACGCAGCTGTCATACCGCTCAGGAAGGAGACTCATTCTGTCTCCTAGAGATTAACGTACTTTGGTGCGAAAAGTGCAAATCAATCCCAGAACAGCAAAGGACCTTGTGAAGATGCTGGAGGAAACAGGTACAAAAGTATCTATATCCACAGTAAAACAAGTCCTATATCGACATAACCTGAAAGGCCGCTCAGCAAGGAAAAAGCCACTGCTCCAAAACCGCCATAAAAAAGACAGACTACGGTTTGCAACTGCACATGGGGACAAAGATCGTACTTTTTGGAGAAATGTCCTCTGGTCTGATGAAACAAAAATAGAACTGTTTGACCATAATGACCATCGTTATGTTTGGAGGAAAAAGGGTGTCGCTTGCAAGCCAAAGAACACCATCCCAACCGTGAAGCACGGTGGTGGCAGCATCATGCTGTGGGGAGGCTTTGCTGCAGGAGGGACTGGTGCACTTCACAAAATAGATGGCATCATGAAGGAAAATTATGTGGATATATTGAAGTAACATTTCAAGACATCAGTCAGGAAGTTAAAGCTTGGTCGCAAATGGGGTCTTCCAAATGGACAATGACCCCAAGCATACTTCCAAAGTTGTGGCAAAATGGCTTAAGGACAACAAAGTCAAGGTATTGGAGTGGCCATCACAAAGCCCTGACCTCAATCCTATAGAACATTTGTGGGCAGAACTGAAAAAGCATGTGCGAGCAAGGAGGCCTACAAACCTGACTCAGTTACACCAGCTCTGTCAGGAGGAATGGGCCACAATTCACCCAACTTATTGTGGGAAGCTTGTGGAAGGCTACCCGAAACGTTTGACCCAAGTTAAGCAATTTAAAGTCAATGCTACCAAATACTAATTGAGTGTATGTAAACTTCTGACCCACTGGGAATGTGATGAAAGAAATAAAAGCTGAAAGAAATCATTCTCTCTACTATTATTCTGACATTTCACATTCTTAAAATATAGTGGTGATCCTAACCGACCTAAGAAAGGGTATTTTTACTAGGATTAAATGTCAGGAATTGTGAAAAACTGAGCTTAAATGTATTTGGCTAAGGTGTATGTAAACTTCCAACTTCAACTGTGTATGTATGTGTGTGTGTGTGTGTATGTGTGTATGTATATGTATATATATATATATATATATATATATATATATAATAAATGTATTTCTGCAGACACGTGCTTTTAAATAGATAGTTGTTAACTCAATGACTGGAAGTCTGTGGGAACAGCTAGAATGTCATTGTGCTAACACTAGTAGCAATGTACCCCTGCTACCCCACCACTGCTGAAAAGAAATCCTAGGGGTAACACTGGTTATCTACAATGTCAACATGAATCTATGGATGGCTGAATGATCATGAACAAGAGGGTGGACAACCGTATCAACTCATAACATTTATCATTCTGTGTGTATTTTCTTTAGACTTGGAAATTGTGACCCAATCACCCAAACCAGTCCAGCCCAACTAGAAGACCCCCCTGTAAAGAATGTGAAGAAATTGGTTACTTTACTGGGTGCCAGAGTGTTGCTGCTGGCATTTGCCAGGGTATGCAAAGTGTGGAGGAACAGCATGAGCCAGGTACGTTTCTACAGCAAGGCTATGTTTCTAACAGGGCTGTTTTGGTTGAGGGAAAATGTTATGTTAGATTTCATTCCCAAACATTTGCCTATATGATTCGCTCTGTCAGTTACACTGACCTAATTTCTACTTCCATCTATCTATTGCAGTCATTTGCTGGATTTTTTAAAACATTTTTCTTCTGGCGGGGGTATGCCAAACAAATAGAGACCCTCCAGAATCAAATGGCTGAGCTGCAGAGGGAGATAGGTGCCTTGCATTCTGCTCTTCAGGTGAGACACTAAGACACCAACAATTACTCATCTGAACGTACCTTATGGTGTGTTCATGATGTGACAAAAAGCCACATGCAGTACTACCTCACTAAAGCCTATCTTGTTTCTGCAGGGTGGTAAGACTGGATGCCACTGCCATGGGACTGTGGCTGGTAGTTCAGTCTGTCCAATGTTTCCTCCTCCCCCTCTTCCATTAGGCTGTGGATCCAATGTGGACCCTCTCCCTGCTCTCATACCACCAGCCCCACCTCCTCCACCACCACCCCCTCCTCCTCCATCCACCACTTTCCTGCAACCCTACGTCCCTAAAAAAAGAGTGGCTTCCAATACTCAACAGGTAAGAACTTACTAACTCATCTTTCATTCTTTTTTTATTTGGTGGTCATAGATCGATTTCTGTCCCGTGTGGTTCAGTTGGTAGAGCATGTCGCTTGCATCACCATGGTTGTGGGTTCGATTCCCACGGTGGACGAGTACGAAAATGTACTGTATGCACTCACTACCGTAAGTCGCTCTGGATAAGAGCGTCTCCTAAATTACTCAAATGTCAAATGTATTCTCTCCTATGATCTGACCTCTCTGTCACTTAGAGCTCTAAGGAGAAGCAGGACATACTGGTGGCCGTGACCCTCAGGGATTTACAGGCTGTTAAACTGAGAAAGGTTATTGTCCGCAGTGTGAAATCAAAGGTAAGCAAGGCATATCCTTAGCATACACAAAGTAATTTCTGCTTCCACCTGTCCAAAATGGAAGCTCCACAGGACACTCCCACATAACATGCAGTAATGTGCCTGAATCTTTCTTGCATTTCCAGCATAAACATGTACAACAAGGCCATTGTCTGAAAAATGGGTCTGTCTTTTATTTTAGAGGACTCCAGAGAAGATACATGCCCCTCTGGTCACTGTGGCAGACCTGCAGAATGTCCGTCTGAAACGATCCCACTGCGAACTGCCCCCTAAACTTCCCAAACGCCTTAGCTTTGGCAGGTAAACCTATTCCGTATTTCTTAAACGGCTGCCATTGTTTTGTGACCAGGAGATTATCAGGGTTCTCCGTCATGGTCCTGGGGATCCACCACATGTTGTGCAGGCTTTTCTTCCAGGCCAGTTCTGATAATAATTGAATCATGTTTATTAGGCCTGGAACAAAAGCCTGCACACCAGGATTGAAGAACAGCTTTTCAAACATATTTGTTTTCTTGATTGGATTTATGTTGTGGATCAAATGTTATTTCCCACTCTAGAACACCGACCAAAAGCCCTATGAATCTGCGTACACAGCTGAAAAGGGTTCAAATCAATAGGTAATGCATTTCAACACTCAAGGAAGTCAAAGGACTATCATCAAGTGAGAGTTCAGTCTGACTAAGTGTTTCTCTCCACTCTTTAGGAGTCCTGGTGGTACTCCTCTCTTTGATAAGGAGAATATGGACACGGGCACTGGCCTCACCCCCATCATGACTCAGGCCCTGCGACTCAAGTTCCAGGTAGATCACTCTTTACAGAGCCCATGTGGCTTATGCATGTATAGTTTAAAAGTGTGTCCCCTTTGTCATCACTTATGTTGTTCTTTATCCCCTCAGAGTGCCTTACCACGAGGACCGTCTCCAAAGGCAAAGAATCTCAATGAAAGCTTTGATCAAAACTGAGACATTTGTTGATGTATACACGGATGTCGATCGAGACGAGTTGAAATGTAACGGAAAGGCAGCCGCCGTGATAAAAAGTTCCAGTGTTGTATGAGGACGGTTATGCAAGCTATGGATGTAACTATGGGCACAATGCACATTTTCTAGCACTTCCTGCTTTCCACTGCTGACTGGGTTTCTGCTTTCCATTGCTGGATGGGTTATTTAATGCTTTTTCCATTGCTGAATGGGTTACTAAGTGCTAGGTAGATTGAGGATGAAAAGAGGAAACACTTGTGTCTTGGACCACTATTTTAAAACGGACATAAAAGTTCTGAAAGCAAGCAGTTTCTGTGAAAGCCTTGACCGCCCCACTGTATCAGACATAGGATTGGTCAATCCCAACACTGCCTCAAAACTTAATGCTTCTTGGAACAGTGACACCAAGGAGGATGTTAAGTGAGCCATACTGAAATTTAAAAGGCAGTAGTTGAGATACTCTGAACATGTTGTGGAAACAGTCGATGATGAGTTACTTGGAAGGAGTGAGAAGCATCACTTGTTTTGAATGTGGTTTCAGTTTAGTATTTTCTATGAGGAAGTCAAGTTCAGCCGTTGTAAAGTATCTGAGGGTCTATGTTTGGAAATTGCACATTGACTGGGGATCCTAGATGTTTGTGAGCTATGTCATGTTTTGATCTTTGTCACTTTTTCCTAAAAGCTTATATTGCATGATCTTTTGATTTTCTAAAAATGTTTACATTTTGAACGCATTGTTAAACAAATTATTTTAACCACTATTGTGTTTTATGACAATACAATTTCAATTTGTGATTTCCTAGACATGTTTAGGAAACAGCAAATAAATTAACAGAAAACATAAATGTACCTGTTTTGGTTGCTGGAACGGTAAAAAGGGACACAGAAAATGTCTCATTTCTACACGGAACATTTTACTTGTGTTCACGGAAGGTGGTTTTGTGCGCAGCTGTTTATCTCCCCCCACGGGAAAAATGGCGTTGCCCGTGAGTGTAGGAGCGCTCCTAGAATCAGAAGTATTAGAGGATCCATTATACAAAGATGAAGGTCTCTGTGTACTTGGTATATTCGGTAAGACTGCAATGCTACCCGGATCACCGAAAGAGTTTCTAATCAACACGCTCGCGGACAAGCACATCTATCCACTCCTTGGACTGGATGAGACAGACAATCAGAACTGTGGAAGCTTGATTCAGGCGTACTACAGCCAAGAAAACCGCGTATTGTATCTAGTGCTTACTTCAGTTTGTGACAACCGACAGCTTTTGTGGGCGTGTGAGTCTTTGAGTACGGGCATCGGACACTCGGAGGCGCAAGAATTCTGGAAAGGAGCAGATAAACAGCATTGCTTAGCATTGCTTTATCTATTCTCGTTGTGCCATGTCCTGCTACTGGTCCATCCTACATGCTGTTTTGATGTCACCTATGACAGATTGTTCTGTGCTCTGGATGCACTTCGCCAGAAAGTTCTGCCATTACTACGTGCTGCAATCATGGATTCCATCATATCCAAAGAATGGAAGGTGAACTGCCGCCCCTGTCCCCCGCGCCTGCTATTTGTATTCCAAATGAATGGAGCCCTGAGAAGCTATGGTGGAAATGGTTCAGATACTTCTGGGGGAAATGCAGACAAGCCCAAGAAACACTCGCCAAGAAGACGCCTCCAGCATGCATTGGAAGACCAGATATATCGCATTTTCCGGAAAAGTCGTGTCCTCACCAACCAGAGCAGTAATTGCTTGTTCACTGTCCCTGCTAACCAGGCGTTTGTTTACATGGTGCCTGGCCCAGAGGAGGACCCAGTGGCAGCTGTGCTGGGGCAGCTGCGCTCCAACTGCACCCTGAGGGAAAATGACACCAACACCTCGGTGTCTGGACCCAGGCGCTACCAACAAATGCGTTACTCTGCGAGACAACCATCCTTCAATGTAGAAAGCAGCAGCCTCTCAGGGGGGCAACTAGTGGATTGTAGTCTGAAGGAGTTCCTTTGGCAGCATGTCGAACTGGTGTTGACCAAGAAAGGCTTTGATGACAGCGTTGGTCGCAATCCGCAACCTTCCCATTTTGAGCTGCCAACCTACTCCAAGTGGGCACAAGTGGCCTACAGGCTGCATCAGGTCATGATAGCCAACACAGAGGGGGAAACTGCCGAGCTGGCCGTCAAAGTGCAGAGTCAGCTTAAGTTTTTGGAGGGTTTCCTGGACGCAGACGCCAAGTTCTCTGAGAACCGCTGCCAGAAAGCCCTGCCACTGGCACATAGCGCCTACCAGTCCAACCTTCCCCATAACTATACCACCACCGTGCACAAAAACCAACTGACACAAGCACTTCGGATCTACAGCCAGCATGCACGTGGCGTAGCTTTTCAGCGCTATGCCTTGCAGTTGCATGAGGACTGCTACAAGTTCTGGAGTAATGGGCATCAGTTATGTGAAGAGCGCAGTCTGACGGACCAACACTGTGTGCACAAGTTTCACCTGCTGCCTCAGCCAGGTAAAGCCTCAATCACTGTACAGAACATACTACTGTTACTATCATTTCTAAAATATTTTTCCTTATTTATAACACAAATTAAAGGTATAACAGGTATCTACAGAGTTGGTGGTCAGTGTACCTCAGAATATCAATGTTGAATTGTGGTGTTTATTATGGCTAAAAACTGTCTTCTATGGGGTTTTCTCGTTTGGGAAAAAGACGGTCCTCCTCCGTGACCCGGAAACTGTTAAGTGGTCGAGGAGTGTGTCAATTCGTTAGTAGGCAAATGGAAGAGTGTCCTCCCCTCCTCGATATCCACCTTTCATCGAGGATACTCGTGTATCTTACCGCGGAAGAGTTTTGAAATCTGCCACACCCCCATTGTCAGCTTTTGCTTTGTCAGAGGAGAAAAACATGCACACGGTTAAAAACAATATGCTACTTATTGTTTTATCTATAAAATGTCTTGCACAACTAACTTATGATCACATTACGCATTTCTTTTGGGTTCCAACCCATAAACGTCATTTGCCTAATGACTCGCAAGTGGAGAAGGACGGTCTCATTTCAAGCAAGCACATTTCCATCCACGTTCACTCTCCTCGATTAACTTTGACATTTTTCAAAAGGACGCGAGAGAGGACCGAGGAGAGAGGATGCAGGAGGTGAGCAAATCAATTGATAAAAGGCCATTGTCATCTGCAGATGAGAAGCCAGAGATGGACCTCAACCCGCCCATCCTTAACCACAACAGCAGGGGGCGTTCCACTAGCTCGTGTAACTGTGGCCGGAAGCAAGCCCCTCGTGAAGACCCCTTTGACATCCAAGCTGCCAACTACGACTTCTACCAAGTTAGTATCCACTTTAACAGATCTCTGCAGAGGACACCAGCATAACCCCATGATCTCTGAAAAAATATATATTCAATTATACTTCAGTCTTGTTTACGATTTGTCTCACTCTGTTGCCTTGTAGATGTTCGAGGAGAAATGCTGCGGGAAGCTGGAGACGGTCGACTTTCCTGTTTTCCAGCCGAGCACCCCAGACCCAGCCCCGGCCTGTGAAGAAGCACCCAGGCTACCTGAGGTGGTTGCCCCAGTCCCAGTCCCAGTCCCACCGTCAGTGTCAGAGCCTGGGTCAGGGCCATCAGAGGGGGAGAGGCTGAAGGAGAGCATCCCAGCGTCCCACTTAGTGTCCCACACCCCTGGAGAGAGCACCAGCCTCAGCCTGGCCCTCAGCCTGGGCCAGTCCACTGACAGCTTAGGGCCCTATGGAGACGGAGGGGGCGGTGAAGGCCAGGAGAAGAGGCCCAGCCTGGTGGACCGCCAGGCCTCCACTGTGGAGTACCTTCCAGGCATGCTCCACTCAGGCTGCCCCAAAGGCCTGCTGCCCAAGTTCTCCAGCTGGTCGCTGGTCAAGCTGGGCCCTGCCAAGGCCTACAACACCCACACTGGCCTGGAGCAGCCAGGCTTCCTACCTGGCTCTTCCTTCCTCCTGCCCTGGGACGTGGTGATTCGCTCCCGCTCCGAAGACGATGTGGGCTTAACTGAGCCCTTGGATTGGGGACCCGCCTCCTGGCCAGCCCCCAACAAAACCCTGGTGGGGAAGCGGGGGAGTGCAGGGGGCCTTGGCCGGGGACGCAGGCGGGATGATGTGGCCCGGGCCTTTGTGGGCTTTGAGTATGAGGACAGTAGGGGCCGGCGTTTCCTCAGCTCAGGACCTGATAAAGTGGTGAAAGTGCTGGGGCCTGGAGGGGCCAAAGAGCCGGCCACCAGGGCCCTGAACACAGACATGCCCCTGTACATCCCCTCTCCGGCCCAGGGGCGTGGCCTGAAGACCCACTACGCCCAGCTGGCGCGCCTCTACATTGTGGTCCCTGATGCCCCCCTGGAGATAACACTCAACCCACAGGTACACTTGCCTGGCCTACATTTCCCTATCAACTGGTGTGTGTCACCAGGAAAACATGAGAGGAATTTACTTATCTATCTTGATAGATAAGCTATTATGCTTAATTCTCAATGCAATTACAACTGAACTCATAGTGTGTTCTTAGTGTAGCAATATGCTGTGTGGAGATGAATTTTGTGTTGGCAAATAGTCCCTTTGTTGATTAATGAGAAAGATGTAATGCTTGATTGATGTTGACTGTAAAACGCTGCCCCTCTTCTTCTTTTTGTTCTTAGGTCCAACCGGGCCCAACTCCCTGTCCAGTGTTCCACCCCGAGCAGACAGAGCTGGTGCTGCCCCCCGATGGCCTGTGGGTCCTACGTTTCCCCTACTCCTATGTCACAGACCGTGGTCCATGCTACCCACCTAAAGAGAACCAGCCCCTGGCCAACTACAAGGTCCTCAGAGGCATCCTGCGTGCCAACACTGTCAGCCCTCTTCCACCACAGTAACCCCCACTCCCACAATAGCACCGCAATGTGGCTCTCACACTTATTTGCAAGGTTAGTGTAAAAATGACTGAGTCAGTTGGACTGTGTTCTCTTGCCTAGTGTCGTTTCATCCCCTAAAATACTATTTTGAGTTAAATGGAATTGGACTGGGTTAGTTGATTTATGAATGGCAATCTCTCAAAATAAAAAGGTGTTGATCTGCATTGAACTGCGTCTCCACTTGGATATATTCAATGAAGATCTTGTTCTCTGACCTCTTTTGTTCATGGTCCTTTCAAACAGCTCTTACACTAAAAGGGCATTATCATAATTTTCACAATTTCACAGTATTATTCCAACCTAATATTGTGGAAATCTATATAAAACACAGGAAAATCACGTTTTTGACTGCACTGGGCCTTTAAGGAGAGAATAAATGGCATTTTATGGAGGATCCTTGTCTGTTGGCTTTATTCACTGTTATTGTGCACACTCAATGCAGCCTGTATAGAGGCTTATTTTGAGCTATGATCATTATTCAGACCATATAAAGGTGAGATCCCACATCATTACAGTTAGTACAATAAATAAAATGGCATGCAACGTTTATTATGTGAAGCCTACCTACATGTACAAATTACCTCGACTAACTTGTACCCCAGCACATTGACTCGGTACCGGTAACCCTATTATTGTTATTTTATAGTTTTTTTAAATTATTATTTTTACTTTAGTTTATTTTGTAAATATTTGCTTAACCAACAATGCAGTTAAGAAAATAGAGTTAAGTAAGCATTTCACGGTAAGGTTGTATTTGGCGCATGTGACAAATACAATTTGATTTGAAGCAGCCACAGAATTCTCAGATCACAGCACTAGATGTCGCTATTAACCAAGTTCTCGAGTGTGGTGTCATGAGAAAATTCTCTACATGGGCACCCACCGGGCCCCTAACAAAAGGTAGTTATTTTCCTTGCAGAAGGATGAATAATGCTTTTATTTCAAATGCTTGGTATGTGTATCTTTTTCTATCCTTTCTTTTGTACTTCAGGCCTGGTATGCATGGTCATGCACGCCTCCAACTTGTATTACAATGCTTAAATAAATATATCGTTATGCTAGTACGTTTGCTGTTGAACTGTCTACCGTTCATGTATGTAGCCTATTTGTTTTCCTACCATGATTGTAATTATGTCATGATGGACAATCTTGCAATTTGTCCATGTTGTCCGGTCAATTTAATTGGTAGGCTTACTGAGACACAAAGTGTGCAAAGAGTTTCTGTTTATGACCGCAACTGTTGTGGTTCCCCACAAGTCTGCGAAACGTACAGTAGGCACTGACGCTCTCCGCGCAACGATTGGTCAACCATTACCATCTGTAGCCAATGGGCACAATGTTGCTATGCTGTAATGTTACATTGATTGGTTCTCTTGACTGTCAGTCTGCCTCAGACGGGATACAGTCTTTGCGCAATAACATCAACTCAAGCCGTGCGCTCAGTATCGGATAGACATCCTCCGTTACTTCTTGAGCATTGAAGTCAACGCGTAGACGCAAACCTTAACCCTCTAAACGGAATGAGAAGGATTTGCCACATAAAGTTGTGATCGGCAAAGGACTAGAGGCGACGATTGAATTTTCTCTATCCAAAGGTAATGTTTATTGTTATCGCGCAACTGTACATGTTTAAACCGGACTGCATCTTGTCCGAAAGTTCATAATGGGGCCTGAGACTAGATTATAACTATTTGACTACAATTACACTATAAGAATCTGACCGACTGTGCTTAGTGTATAACCTGCAGGTATAGTTTGTGATGCGAGTATGATTGATGTAAAATGTCCGCAGTGGCACTACATGCGCTGGTTTAGATTACACAAAGTTGGCAGTGTCGTATTCTGCACCACCGAATCCAAACATTGCTTTTGGTGCGTGCGGACGATGGAAGTAGAAGTTGCAAAGTGGAATCCGTTATGAAATTGTTTTGGTTCTGACATGTTTTTGTTGACAATCATTTTTCATTACTTATACCATATTAATATAATTGACACGCTTGTATTGGTTGTTTTAACAGCCATTCAAAATGTTACCATCGTTTAGTGGTTGTGACAATATGTTGTAATAAATGTAACATCTGTCATTGTCATCAGTATTGTTGAACCTTTAACAATCTTTCCTAAATGACTTTCAGTGACCTGATAGAGGCCTCTCACTATGGAGGCTATAGTTTTTGCTAAAAGACCATACCAAAATAGTGAATCCAGTTTTTATGGTCGGCCCCATAAACAAGATGACAGCTGGTTCCTGTTGACTAGTCTACTCTAAATCAACTCGAAAAATGTTGGCAGAGAGGGAAAGAGTAGCTATTTTGACCCACAGTAACATCTATGTTCATTTGGACATTTCATTTGATATCTGACTTAGGTTCCTATTTAGTCATAATGACCTTAACTGGCAAATAAATAAATCAACCACTTAACAGGTAGTTTTAAAACCATCCAAATGAAGCTACCTATGGAACACATCATAGCAGATGCATCACTTGATATGGTCGAGCTAAATGTTTGTCACCTCTTCCTTAGCCTCTCAGTACCATGACCAAAACAGCCTTTTAAATCATTGTAAGCGTAAGTACAAAATCCCAGCGTTAGCATGAAATCAGTGCTAACCGAGATATAGCTGTGTGGGAGTGTTGTGTTGGGCCAGTAACTGAAAAGTCGCTGGTTCGAATCCCTGAGCCGACTAGGTGAAATATCTGATGTGCCTTTGAGCAAGGCACTTAACCCTAATTGCTCCTGTAAGTCACTCTGGATAAGAGCATCTGCTAAATGACTAAAATGTTTGTTTTTTAAATTTGTAAAAATTTTTGTTGTGAGCCCCGGGGCCATCTGAGTTGGAGGCTTTCTCTCTGTCGGTCTGCATACAAATGGCTGTGTATGGCTAGACTGAGGTTAGTACGGTAGCTCACTTTGCCAATCAATCGGCATCACAGATGCTGGGAAAAAAAATCTGGTCTTAATGTCCCTATAGGCATAGCCAGGACAGGTGATACTCATAGTCAGGAATATCTTACAATTCAACTTTCATTTCCCCTGAAGTGTACAGTTTGATTTATTCAGTGTGTACTCAATTTTTTGCACCTTGTGAGGTAACTATGGTATACGTTCCCTAATGCACATCAGATGACGCAACACAACACTACAAGACAGACCCCAAATGGATCTAATATTAGCATGTCTCTTTCACTGCTTCATAGCATCTTGTGTGTGTAAAAAGAGTGCTATTCAAAGGACACTGCTGGGTCCTCATTTGGCAGTGAATCAATTCAGAGACCAGCTCTCTGCATTGGCCCTTTCATTCATCCAATGCTAATAAACGGAGGGAGGTAGCATGGCAGGGATGTTTACACCTCTATCCAACTGGTCACACCTATTTCCTGCCAGTCATTCACACCAGCTGGGACGTTAGCAGAAAGTTCTACACCCCTTGGCCTCCTGGCATCCAGGAGTCTGCCCTGTGTTGTGAAGGATGTGGCACATTACATGTCTACGTTTTTAAGCAGGATTGAGAAGAAAAGCATAGAGAGTGCATGCATGTAAGTGAGTGTTTCAAATCCAATTTTATTTGTCACATGCGCCGAATACAACAGGTGTAGACCTTACAGTGAAATGCTTACTTACAAGCCCTTAACCAACAATGCAGTTTTAAGAAAGAATACAATATTAAATAATACAAAATAAAAGTAACAATTAAAGAGCAGCAGTAAAAATAACAATAGCGATGCTATATACAGGGGGTAACGGTACCAAGTCAATGTGTGGGGGCACCGGTTAGTCGAGGTAATTGAGGTAATATGTACATGTAGGTAGAGTTATTAAAGTGACTATGCATAGATAATAAACAGAGAGTAGCAGCAGCGTGAAAGGTGGGGGGGGGGGGGCAATGCAAATAGTCTGGGTAGCCATTTGATTAGATGTTCAGGAGTCTCATGGCTTGGGGGTTGAAGCTGTTTAGAAGCCTTTTGGACCTAGACTTGGCGCTCCAGTACCATTTGCCGTGCGGTAGCAGAGAGAGCAGTCTATGACTAGGATGGCTGGAGTCTTTGACACCGTCTAGTATAGAGGTCCTGGATGGCAAGAAGCTTGGCCCCAGTGATGTACTGGGCTGTACGCACTACCCTCTGTAGTGCCTTGCGGTCGGAGGCCGAGCAGTTGCCATACCAGGCAGTGATTCAACCAGTCAGGATGCTCTCGATGGTGCAGCTGTAGAACCTTTTGAAGATCTGTGGACCCATGCCAAATATTTTCAGTCTCCTTAGGGGGAATAGGTTTTGTCGTGCCATCTTCACGACTGTCTTGGTGTGCTTGGACCATGTTAGTTTTGTTGGTGATTTGGACACCAAGGAACTTGAAGCTCTCAACCTGCTCCACTACAGCCCCATCGATGTTTCCATGTGTATGTAGTGTATTTTTGTCAATGTGTGTGTAGGTCAATCTAAGCCTACGTGCGTGTCGTGTCGTGTCGTATGTGTGTGTATGCATATATACATTATATCTCCTCAGCCCACGTCATCATCCAGCCAGCGCCCAGTGGCCCACTGTCTGTCTGGCCAGGCTCCGTGCTCTGCTTTGCCCCCTGTGGGTCTGCTGTTCTGCTACTGGATGATGAGCGCTAGCTAGCCAGTGACATGCAGGCAGGGTAGGAAATGCTTACCCTGTGATAATCTAATGAAAAGCCAAAAAAACTAAACAAAAATGTATCATTATTTTTTGTTATCTAATGTTTTTTCTCAATGATTCTGGTGTTTTTTATGCTCAAAATATCTACATTTTCTAAAAGTACATCAACCTCAGGAGAGGCGCCAGGGTATTCATGCCTTTCTTTCCATCCATTCAAATCCTTAAAGATTGCAGCCTTTCCTGACTCCAGTCGCTGTTATTGGACAGGGTCATTAACAGCTTGAAGTAGCTTCATTTGTTGCATTGAACCGGTTTTCATATTTTGCGCATGCGTATTGCCTAAACATGTTGTGTGGGTATTGCCTGGAGTAAGCTGTGCACATTTGTGTGTGTCTACATAATTTGGCTCTCACATCCTTTGAACTGAACAAAGCTAGCTAGCAAAAACAACCTGACAAATGGACACTACTATACTGAACCTCAAACAATTTTCTAAGTTGGAATAATGTAACGTGCCATTTTGGAGGGTTCGAAGAGGGGAAGTCATCTATAATGAAAGTTAAGATGAGGCAAAGACAGCATACAAGATGTGACTTTATTCATGACAGGCAAGGCAACCACCATCTCCTTCACTGCTAGCTGTTGGGCAGGCGAAGAGAACTGGACTGTCCACCACAGGAGGCTGCTGAGGGGAGAACGGCTCATAATAATGGCCGGAACGGCGCAAATGGAATGGCATCAAACACCTGGAAGCCATGTGTTTGATGT